TTTTGTTCTTAAATATATAAATGCAATCAAAGTTATCTCTCTAGAACCGATATATTCTTACATATAAATGTATGTATGATAAAGCAGCTGCCCTTGCAACCCATTTAACATGATTGATTTATTAGGTAAGATATATTATCAAAATCGCAGACCCAACTGTGCAACAATAAATTAGCTATAACTGGCCAATTGACAATGTTTTTCGTTAAGTGTATCATCTGAAGCGATTACCACAATTGGCAACATGTGCCACTCGCACATAATGGCCGCCATTAGCCGCCTTAGAATCGGTTTCAAATGCTGCTCCATGAATATGGATGCACGACACGCCGGGGGCGGGGGAATTTTGAAAGAATCATTCGAAACACGTATTACATGTCCCACTTGACATGCTAACAATTTAATTTGAACCCAAGACGCGCAATTTGGCGCACTCGTTCGGATTGAAGTCTCCAACTTGGTTCAGGTCAATGGGGTTGCTCTCTATAAAAATAAGACTTGGCTAACCCCTGGTAATGCGTAACCTCTGCCACTTATGGAACGCAATTGTCTTGAGCGGCCCGCTCATAAGGAAGTGCTATTTGTGGATCCATAATGGTTGTGCTCACGGCATCGTTAATCGATTATGGCCAGGTTAAGATCGGTGGGAGAATGCTGGCGGCCTGGTTTTATTACTCGCATGTCTGCGGTCGGATTGGGCCATCTTCTCTGCTTCAATCTGGGTCATTTTGCGGTCACACCTCAAGTTGGCGGATGGAAGATAATATAAAAACACACATACCTCGGATTCCACGCGCCATTTAAGATGTAATCGGGCAATCCGCACATCAATCAGACATCCGCCATGCAATTTAATTCGATGCGGGATAAAATAAAAGCTTTGGGCCGATTTTTATTAAAACACTTTATGCCAGACAGTAATAAAATTTTTATTAATTTATACCGTCGCGAAATGTGATCCAATGCAAAAGACCTTATAGCCCCACCCGCTTTAACACAGAAATAATGCTTTTGGTTATTAATCTTTTATTTGTTTAGTTTTTGGTTACGGTTTAATGTTGCATAGAGAAAACAACACAGAAGCTTCCTGCCCTTCCCCGATTCCCCCTCAATCCCCGGAACACCCTACCCCAAAAACAAACTCAACATAATATTAATCCCTTGTTGTACTAATTTGAAACATTACTTTTGTATTATACCAAAGAACTATCCTATTCTGTGTTTGCTTTTTCTATTCTTTATTTATAGGATTGGCTTGCGGGACGTGTGTTTTATCGTCCGATTTCGGTTTCATTCTCGATTGTAACTTCAAAAAGTCTGGACTGTTTCGTGTACGAAATTTGGGTGGCCTAAAGGCCCATTTCGGTTTAGGTAAATCTCTCAACTGTTCTGTCACCCCAATCGCACCGCCCCAATCATCCACCATCCTCATTTTCCTCAGTGTATATATGGTAAGAAATAGTTTAAGGTGGATGTAGAGTACGTAGTGTTTCCAAGGCCTCTGTCCTCCAATTTTCAAGTGCAGCTAATTGGTCAAGTAATCGATCGCGATCTGAACTCAAACAAACGCACCGCGAATAGCGATTAAGTAAGTCATTATGCATTAATGCCAATGTCAGTAGAAGCAGCATATGGCAGCAAATGACTGATAAAGTAGAGCGCCTGAGCGGAGAAGCAGACCCAGAAAACAACTCGAAGATTGACCCGTAGTTCAATTGACAGGGGCGTGGAAAGAGGGGTAGCTGATACCTAGCTAAACCAGGCTCTATTAAGACCATAAAATAGAATCAGAATCATATGCAGAACGATTAAAACTACTAGCTGTTAATGGTTTTTATATTTTTTGCAACATAAATAGTTAAAAGCATTGGTACAATAAAATAACCAATAATGAAAGATCATAAAACTGAAATGAAATTGTTTAATAAATATAAATTCTTAAAACCAATTAAATCTGAACTTAATGACAGTTTAACGATCACTTGCTGCTGCAGCCTTCAGCTATTAAAACATAGTCTTTGTAAAAAAAATATTTTTTATTTAGTACACCTTTAGGCTTTTAATATTAACAACGATAGAGCAGACATACAACAGTATAAGTAATCTAAATTATGTTAAAAAGACAAAGGTTTATTATAAGCAACATGTTGCTCCATTTTTGCGTGCTCAGGCGTACCCCTGTTTGGCATTCACTGACCCCTTAATAGGGATCCTAATAGGCTCTGTGTACATAAAACCCGAATAGATCTAAGATTCGATAAGACCCTTACCATAGCCACGTGAAGGGTAAAACAAAAGCCATTAATTAACACATCATTGCCCAACCCTCGGCCACGATTGAAGTGATTAATGGGGCCGTCGTGGGCCCGACCTAACCCAAAACCTCTGCCCCTTGCAGGTTTCAGTCTGGGCGATGAGTTGGGCTTTCCGGAATCCCTGGGCAACACGGAGAGCGACCGCCGGCGGGCCATTAGCTACAAGAACGGAGCACCTCCTGACCTAGTGGGCGTACTCCCATCCACCCAGCAACAGGTGAGTTTGAGGTCATTCATCCCCATAACTATGATCAGTTTACATTCATTCCAAAGGTCAATCCACCTGCCCAACATCCGTTGCCCGAGAAGCGAATAAGTTCACGGTCCACGGGAGCAGCGCCCTTCAATCTGCAACAGGTGCAACAGCAGCAGCAACTGCAACTCCAGCAGCAAAACTGCAGCAACAGCAGTTGCAACAGCAAATGAAACTGAAGCAACAATTGCTGCTACTGCAGCAGCAACAGCACAGCAGCAACCGCTGATGACTGAGGCTCGTCCACTGCCCCTGGGAGTTCCTGCCTTCCGACCCATTCCCCAGAAGCAACTGGCCGCCACCCAATCCTCCGTCCGGTTCCCACTATGCAGAGAGACGGGTGGCCGTCGACACCCCGGAGCCCCGGGTCAGTGTCAACAACAAGCTGATAAGTGCCATCGATAAACCGGTAAGTAGAAGTTTATATCTACTATTTGCAAAGACTTAGGCGAGAGACTTGCACGATTAAGTAAGATATACTCAAACTGGCATTCTCGCCTATTGCCCACTATAAAACTTTTGCTAGTTTCAACCATTCAAAACCAAACATGAATTTTCGATAATTTTAAGACCGCGAATTCTTCAGAACGCGAAGAATTGTGTTTGCCACACTGATATTTTAGAGAATTCTTTAGAGAAGAGGAAACAAAAATACTTTTACTTCTACAGGTTTCAGATTTATATCCTAGCATGTTATTTCAGAATTAGGTATTCCATTAGTCCTTAAATTTAATTACTTAGTAAAACCCATTATTGATATTAATCTACCCCGTAGCACTCAAACCGCACTTTCCATGTGGCCAATCCGGTGGTGGCCCAACCAGTGGTGTCCCAACCAGTGGTGTCCCAGCCAGTGGCTGTTCCTGTGTTCCAGGCGATGCCCCAGTCCATCGCCAGGATCGCCAACGTGGGCAAGGAGCACCGGACGGTGGCCAGCCACCCGAATTACCTGCAGTTCGAGGAGCCCAAGTTCGATCTGAAGGATGTGACTGTTGAGGAACTGGCCGCCGCTGCCAATGTACAGTGGACACCATCAAGCACGCCATTTACGTGCGGGAGCAGCAGTGAAGGCCGAGCACAGGGCCCAGCTGGCGGCCAAGTTAAGGGAGGAGTTTATGCGCACCTCTACAGTGAGGACCACGACGACCACAACGACAACCAGTACGCCACGGCCTCAAAAGTCGCTGGCCGAGCACAAGGTGTCCAAGGTGGGTAGCTGGCCAAGACTGGGATTTCACTTTGCTACATTAACCAAACCTGTTGGGACTTATTCTGAAAATTATTGTATCAATCTATAAACATGTTCTAATTTTTATTAACATTTCTTAGGTCATGAACGCCCCCAAGGAGTACTATCCGGTGGGCTACGACAAGAACTTCGACGACAATTTCAAATCCAAAGTGGACCTGCCGCCCACGAGCTTCTCCTGTGCCAAGCAAAAGCACTTTCCGGGTCTTTATGCCGACACCGATCTTGGTTGCATGGTAAGTCAAAGATATATTTGTTTCCCCAATCCCATTCTCACCTTTACTGGCAGGTCTTCCACGTTTGCGCCCTCACCGATGACGGCTTGGTGCGGAAGTCGTTCCTCTGCCCGGAGAACACACTCTTCGACCAGACGATCCTCAAATGCAATTGGTGGTTCTATGTGGACTGCAGCTCCAGCACCAGCGTTTACGACTCGAACATTCCCATTTCGAAGAGCTACCAGCTGATGAAGTCGCTTACCTACTTCTCTAAGTTTGCCGGCGGCCAGCGACACGAGCAGGATGGCCAGAAGGACGAGAACGCCCTGGACATCGACTCGCTGCGGGAGTCGATGGAGGGAGTGGTTCGGCGCCAGGAGCAGGCCAAGAAGCGGAGCTGCGGGAGGAGGAGCAGCGCAGCCTGGCCAAGGAGGACCATGAGCACGTGGTGCCCGCGGAGGCGGAGCAGCAGCTGTCCAACTAGGCTTCTCTAGGCCCAACCCAACGTTATCTGAGATCTAGGTTAAGTGTTCACGATCGAGCGTCTCTGGTCGGTTAGCCGTATGTAGTCAAATCCTTGCTGAAGTCAACGGTTTTCTATAGTCTCATCACGTATTCCACAGAAAAACAATTTTCCCTTAATTGGTCACCGATTCGGATTTCATTCAGATACAAATAACGCCTATTTGTGGCGACTTAATAATATGTTTCAAAATTTCAAAATAATTTTCTTCATATCTGTAAGCTATAATCAACACTGGATGAGATATGACTAAGATTATTTTGACCAGAAAACAGTGGACACTAGGGAACTGATATTGTTATGATTTTTGTCTGTTTAGTCTCATCACTTCCTGAGGCAGCTCCCGTTCTACCGAGCGCCCCTTAGATGTAGTCTTTTCCTAGACCCTTAGGTGGATAATATCTAGTTAAGCCCATCACCAAGTGATTTTTGGTTTGGGTGGTTAATTTTATTACGTTTTACTATTTATTTATTCTACAAGTATTTCTCGACAATTAAACATCGTTTGTTTCAACAAATTATTTTTTAAATACATTAATTCTTTTAGTTTTTTGTGTAATGGGTGGCCTTTTGGAACTTTTGGATTGATTTTCATAAAAGAAAACCAATCAAAGTTTAGTTTTTTTTTCCCTTCATGATCCTTTACGCGCGTGCCTTTAACCAATATAATATCACCAGGCCAAATATTAAGTTTATCAACCTCCTTATTCCACAGATTTAACATGATTTCAACTGATTTCTTGCTGGAGTCCAAGAGGATCAGTTCTTGAATTTGGTAACCTCCTCTGTTTACCGGATAATACACTTCCTTGCAGATGCCAATTGTGTCGACTAGCGCCAAGGTTTGCCTTCGAGGAACCTTATAAAGAGGCGACAATTTTACCATCATTCGCGGAATATCTACATCATCTTCGATCTCTTTTAGGACTGTTTCTTCGCGAAATAGAATCTGATGGGGATTATGCACAATTTTGTATCTTCCATCAGCCCGCTGCACCTCGAATTTCGAGAACAGGTATACTTTGCCTGCTTCAATTTGATCGTAGAAAGTATTGCACAGGTGATCAAAGACCACTCCAGTAATTTCACCAGATGTGTCCAACAAATTCATGAGAAAAATGGTTCCAGCCTTATCGCCAGTTTGGGAACACCATTCTGTAATCTTAGTCTTGTACCCAACGCGGGCTTTTAGACATCGGTAATGTAATCTCGTAAGTTCCAAGCTGGAAATGGGCTGGTCACCGCGAAAAAATTTGATTATCAGTATAGCTTGCGAGGATGGGGAGCGGCTACTGGCTGATTCCAGAACCTTCTTTGGGTACAAGCTTTCTCAGAGTTATCTTTGTTTAAGTTCATCAAGTAACAACGATTTTCCAAAATATTTAATTTCGAAATTTTTAAAATTTTACTGTCTGTATACAATAATATTTTATTTAATTTGATGAACCTATCTAAAATTACATTTGAAATCGTATAATAAACGTACAGTTCTTGAAATCTTTTTGCTCATATTGAATCGAGTGCAGTTTAAAATCGTTCAAATACACAAAAACACCGAACACCTATTATTGCGAATATTTATGAAATTCAAAAGACACTCGGAAAAACGCTTTAAACTACGTGCGTTGTTTAATAATTGCAATTGACTCATAAATTAAAAAACCGCAGCTTATATAGGAATATATAAAGACTTTGCAAAGGCTTATCTCACGATGGGAGAGCATAACAAGTGCTTTTAAAATCGCACAGGCCTCTCTTTGGGAAATCTCTTCGGTTTTAATTTCTGAGTCATCATCAAATAAAATTTCTCGGCGATATTCAGCATGTATTTTTTATTGCTCTTGTATAAACAATAAACATATCAAACAGATTTTTACATTAGCTATTGATTTTCGTACCAGTCCCGCAGCGAAATGGCCTCTGGAATGTCAGGATTGATCTGCACATTGGTGTACCAGCTAGCGTTAAGTTTTATTTCGTTATTGTGAAACTGGGCACGCGCCCCTTTCACAACAAGAACATCATTAACTTGACCCGGAAAGTCTCTAGCCGCCTTTTCCCAGAGATTCAACATGACTGGTTGTAGTTCTGCGTCCACGAGTAAGATTTCTCGAATAAGGTGTCCTCCTCTTTCATCCACGTCGCGCACCTCGGTGCATATGCCAACTACGTCGACTGGCTCCCTTTCGGAATTTCAGAAACCTTAGAAAGCGGCAAAAAGGTATTCCTTATTATGGGAATCTGGGTATTCTCGATGCTCTGTTGTACAACTGTTTCGTCAATGAAAAATATTTGAAGCGGGTTCGGCAAAATTTTGATGTCCGTATCCGCCTCCTTCACTTCAAAATTAAGAAGTTATATACGCTGCCTTCTTCAATTTTGGGGAAGAACGTATCGCACTGACTGTCAAATAATGCGACAGTAATTTCTCCGCTACCATCCAACAAATTTATAAGGAGGGTAGTCCCTTCATTGATATTACGAGTCCATTCGGTTATCTCTGTCTTCCACGTAACGCGTGCTCTGATGAATGATCTGTGGCAAGTTGTTAGCTCCAAAGTGGAAATGGGCTGCGTAAAAAACTTCATTAAATATGGTCTCGTAGACGCTTCCGTTTCAGACTCGGTTTTAATTAGGTATCATAAATTTGATCGATTTAATCAATTTATCAATAACTAATCTTTATAGGTCGTGTCGGAATCGTCAAATGTATCTATGCTTACAGTAATTTCGATTGGGTCCATTATAAAGAGAGCGAGAGCAAAATTAAAGATACTTGTGAAATTCGAAAGTTTAGAATCCAACGCGTTGTGATGCAACGACTAACAAGCTGCGACTGCAGTCAACATTTTTTCAGCGGCCGCTTAAGTATGGAAAGCTTATCACTATTAGCCACACAGAACGGATGGAGAGTGACTTAAAATACCAAGACCAATTGTGGCGGGAATTCTCAATTTCCTTTGTTTTTCAACATTTAAACCGGAATGCCTCCGGCAACCACAAAATTGAGCTTTTTTGTCTCTTAAAAGAAATGAGTAAACAAATGAGCGACGCTAAAGAGCGCACTGGGAAAAAGAGAATAAGTTCAGATCGATTTTGGCGAGAACATATTTACAATTGCAATTTTCAAGTTTTGTTGCCACCAAACGAATCAGCTTATCAGTTGCGCTTCTTCTATGTATTGCCCCAGTACAGATGAATCATCGCCAAAAGTACAGCACTTTGCTGCAGTTAACTAAGGATTTTTGGAAGAACATTTGAGAGGGTCGGCTAAAGCGGTAAGTAGGCGTTGAGCTTGAGCACCTATTAATTCGTTTTTATGGAGCGTGCATACATACAGATACAGTGCAAATATATACTGCTATAAATCTAATTATTCTGGGAATTGCCCATATCAATTACCGGGTCTGCAAAGTTTTCTGACGGTGCAAGCGGTCAAGGTCTTATTGTAGGGCTTTTTGATCGCTTAATGAACTTAATAGTTCGACTTTATGGTATTTCGTATTATATTAAAACCTGAAATTAAAATTATGCCAGTCAAAAAATATTCCTGGTCAAAACCACTATTCTTCGCTCTTAAATCATTCATTGGCACTCCATTTGGAAACTATTTCCGCCACAGAAAACTAAAAATATCTTTCAAATTTCTCCAATGCAGTAAATAATATTTATTATAATTATTGGGTAGTCGTTAATATCGAGTTACAGTTTTATGCATTTCAACAATTATAAATACGGATTGATGGCATATAAATTTCGAACAAAAAGTAGTTGAGATAACGCCCAGTTCACAATATTTGGAATTAACTTAGGTAATTTAATGAATAGCTTATGTTCTTATTTTATGATTTATGGTAAGCGCGCTGCGCATGAAAATTAGTTCGAGGAACCAATGCCGGTGAGCTCCTGCAACTCTTTGAGTAAGTGCTTGTTGTACTCTTTGTGATTGATGGGGGCCACGGACTGCACGGTGAGCTTGTTGCGGGTCATGTCTCCAAAGACCTCATTCTTGCAGCGCAGCTTAAAGATGTGGGAAGTGAAGTTAAGGGCGGAGAAAATCTGCTCGGCCTTGGCAGCATCATTCTCAAGGGCCTCGCCAACTTCTTGCGAAGTGTGTCCGAGAAGCTGCTCGCCAACCTCGTTGAAGCTGCTAACCCAGCGGTTGGAAGTCCAGTCGCCAATGCTCATCTAGAAAAGAAAAAAAATTTAGTTTAATTAATTAAATTGCCCTTTACATAAATATAACACTTAAAAGATCTAAATGATTGTAATCGTAGATCTTTTCAGCCAATACTAACGTTGATAAGCAGTCGGTACTTGAAGTTGGGGAACAGAGCGTTGCATTTCTCGCAGCGGTACTGGTCATTGCCCTCGTCGACCACCTTCTTGTTGCAGTCGCTTTGGGGACAGGCGCGGTAGAAGGCATTTTCCTGCTTGACGATGTGTACCACCGCCTTGCACTGGAAGTAGTCGGGCTTGTCGCCGCTACCGAGGTTGCGGGCCCGCGCATCCCTTAGCGTCATCCAGTCAGTGGAGAAGTTGCCTCCACCCGTTCGTGCGGAGACCATGTTGGCGACATTATCACCACCCCCATTGTCGAACCAGCCGCGCAGCTTGTGGGCCTCTGGGATGTCTGGGTTAATCTTCATGATAGAGCCACCTCCGAGGCTCAAGGATTTCCCGCCATTAAACTCATTGATGCGCGTTCCCTTGACTAGGATAACGGGCTGCACATGACCGTCAAAGTTAACTGCATCATCGCCCCAGAGGGTGAGATTGATGGCCGAGTTGCTCATGTCCACCAGCGTTATGTCTCGCTTCTTGAACTCCTTGTTTGTTGAACGGGCCACGAAGGACTGCACCTCGCCCACCTCCTTGCAAATGCCAATGGTATCCACTGACGCTTTGTTCTCCATGCCAGACACCTCGGAAATGGAATAAGGTTGTATTTTATTTCCGGAATCGGATCGTCGTCGGCATCCTCGCACAACTGGACAACTGTTTCACCCGTAAAGGTCATCTCGTAGGCATTGTTCAGCGACGAGTACTGTTTGTTAGCCGGTTTCAATTGGCACTTGGAGAAGAAGTAAACGCTGTCCACTTGGATGAGGTCGAAGAACTTGTCGCACTGCTCCTTGAAGGCAGTGGCACGAATTTCTCCAGATTCGTCCATTAGATCCATGCTGAACAGCTTGCCCTCGCCACGGGCATTGCTCCAGGTTCGAATACTCGACTTGGAAGTCACGCGAGCCTTGATCACCCACTTGTTTTGGTAAGGACTCAGGCTGGATATCGGATGAGTCATGCCGCTGTTTATCGATGCATTCAATGTTACATTGTTATTGTTGTTGTTGTGGGCCGGTTCCTTTTTGGCGGCGGGCTTGGGATTGGAAGCCGCTGCTGCCTTGGGCGCCAGGTCTTGCTTGGCGGCATTTTCATAGGTAACGGGTTCGCCAATTTTGGACTTGACCTCGGCGCCAGGATTCAGGACAGTCAACTCAGAGATGATAAGGACGCGCCTGAAGAAAGGGTTTATGGTCAAATTTGGCCGAAACTCTGTATAACCGCCCACTTACTTGCCAGCTCCGTCCTTGCCCACCATGGAGGTTACATACTTGTCCAGCTGGACGATGGTAAACTCTTCTAGTTCTCCGTTGTGCTGCATCACATTCAGTTGGCTGGCCAACATGGCATAGCTGTTGAAGTACTTGCCGTCGGAGATCAGGATGCGATAGCGCTCCGCATCCGCAGTGCTATTGATCTTCTTGATCGCCAGGATCTGAAGCACCGGGCCATCCACGACCTCGCCGTGCATGATGCGCTGTGACCGGTAATTCGAAACGTCAGCACACAAATTCTTCAATTTCAGCAGGCATACTTACAGCAATAACTCCCGAGGACAAAGTTGCCAGTACCATTTTGATTGTTAACAAACAATTGGACAATTTCACAAGCAAAAATAATTCGTGCGTCGAGGGCTGGGAGCAAAGTGAAGCTAGAAGAGGCGGGAAGGGCTGCCTCGGATTTTTGAATCAGTGGTGAGCGGAACTAGTTCCATTAGCGTTCCTAACAGGGTTGCATTCCAGGGCAGTCACTATTAGTTTAAAAAAAACTAATGCTGACGATATTTTCAAATATATTTTTTTAAACTGTAATTTGTGCAAAACAAATAATTTATACCAATTTTAAGTCTTTTTATTTAAATACATACCTAAAGACAAGCATATACAAAAGGCAATGTAATAAGTTATGTATTTTACTAGGGAATTAATAATAAAAATCCCTCAAAATAAAATAAACTGATTTAAAACAATTTTCATAATAGGCTTTGCATATTCAAAACAAAAATCGCGATAAAAAATTTTATTTGAAAACTAAAGTTATAAAGATTAGATTAAAATTCAATCATATCTAATTTAATTGTTTGTCAAAAATCATAAAGCCGCCGACCAATTTCACTGTACCACCTCCACTTTCCAACACTACACTTGATCATTGGAACTTGTGTGCAACCCTGATTCTGTTGGTTTTGCACACTTTTTCCCGCGCATTTTCGCACGCGTCGCCACAACAAGATCGGTACCTCAAAAAAAAAACAATACATATTGCAATCGAACGCCAAGAACAACACACGCTCGACATGGACAATCCCAGCTCTCCGCCGCCGAATACACCAGCGACGCCGCCGAACGTCGCGATCTTCGAGCAGCGATGACGTCGCCTGTTGGCGATTTCGAGCCCTTCGAGAACGAGGACGAGATCCTGGGCGATCAGACGGTGCGCGATGAGGCCGAGGAGGAGGATGGCGAGGAGCTGTTCGGGGACAACATGGAGAACGATACCGTCCCATGCCGGAGCTGGATCACTACGATCCGGCGATGCTGGACGACGAGGATGACTTCTCGGAGATGTCCCAGGGCGATCGCTTTGCCGCCGAGTCGGAGATGCGACGGCGGGACCGGGCTGCCGGAATCCACCGCGACGATCGTGATCTGGGATTCGGTCAATCGGATGACGAGGACGATGTGGGACCCCGGGCCAAGAGACGGGCCGGCGAGAAGGCAGCTGTGGGCGAGGTGGAGGACACCGAGATGGTGGAGTCCATCGAGAACCTGGAGGATACTAAGGGACACTCCACCAAGGAATGGGTCAGCATGTTGGGACCTCGAACGGAGATTGCCAATCGTTTCCAGTCCTTCCTGAGACTTTTGTGGACGAAAGAGGCGCCTACACCTATCGCGACCGCATCCGTCGTATGTGCGAGCAGAATATGTCATCTTTTGTGGTCTCCTACACGGATCTAGCCAACAAGGAGCACGTTCTGGCCTACTTCCTGCCCGAGGCCCCTTCCAAATGCTCGAGATCTTCGACAAGGTGGCCAAGGACATGGTGCTGTCCATTTTCCCTACCTACGAGCGCGTCACCACCGAGATCCATGTCCGCATCTCGGAACTGCCGCTATCGAGAGCTGCGCACGTTCAGGAAACTTCATCTAAACCAGTTGGTCCGCACTTTAGGCGTGGTCACTGCCACCACGGGTGTCCTTCCCCAGCTATCGGTGATCAAATACGACTGTGTGAAGTGCGGCTATGTGCTGGGTCCATTTGTCCAGTCGCAGAACACGGAGATTAAGCCGGGTTCCTGCCCAGAGTGCCAGAGCACTGGGCCTTTCTCAATCAACATGGAGCAGACCCTGTACCGCAATTACCAGAAGATCACCCTGCAGGAGTCGCCAGGCAGGATTCCAGCTGGACGCATTCCTCGCAGCAAGGACGTAATCTTGCTCGCGGATTTGTGCGATCAATGCAAACCAGGTGATGAACTGGAGGTCACTGGTATATACACCAACAACTACGATGGCTCCTTGAATACAGATCAGGGATTCCCCGTTTTTGCCACCGTGATTATTGCCAACCATGTGGTTGTAAAGGATTCCAAGCAGGTGGTGCAGTCGCTTACGGATGAGGACATAGCCACCATTCAGAAGCTGAGCAAGGATCCGCGCATTGTAGAGCGAGTAGTGGCCTCCATGGCGCCCTCTATTTACGGACACGATTATATCAAGAGGGCTCTGGCATTGGCTCTCTTCGGTGGCGAGTCCAAGAATCCCGGAGAGAAACACAAGGTCAGGGGAGATATTAACCTACTTATCTGCGGAGATCCCGGCACGGCCAAGTCGCAGTTCCTGAAGTACATCGAAAAGGTTGCTCCTCGTGCTGTTTTCACCACCGGACAAGGAGCTAGCGCCGTGGGTCTTACGGCTTATGTGCGCCGGAATCCTGTGTCCCGGGAGTGGACATTGGAGGCGGGGGCTCTGGTGTGGCAGATCAGGGAGTATGTCTTATCGACGAGTTCGACAAGATGAACGACCAGGATCGTACCTCCATTCACGAGGCCATGGAGCAGCAGTCCATCTCCATTTCCAAGCTGGTATTGTCACCTCTCTCCAGGCTCGTTGCACCGTCATTGCTGCCGCCAATCCCATTGGCGGCCGCTATGATCCCTCCATGACGTTCTCGGAGAACGTGAATCTATCGGAGCCCATCCTGTCCCGTTTCGATGTCCTGTGCGTAGTGAAGGACGAATTTGATCCCATGCAGGATCAGCAGTTGGCCAAGTTCGTGGTGCACTCGCACATGAACACCACCCTAGCGAGGAGGAGCAGCCAGAGTTGGAGGAGCCGCAGCTAAAACCGTGGATGAGATCCCGCAGGATCTGTTGCGACAGTACATCGTATACGCTAAGGAGAACATTCGGCCCAAATTAACAGTGAGTAAAAATAATTGGAGTAACAGATAAAGTATTAATAACTGCTTTTATTTAGAACATCGACGAGGACAAGATCGCGAAGATGTACGCCCAGCTGCGTCAGGAGTCCTTCGCCACTGGTTCGCTGCCCATTACAGTGCGTCATATTGAGAGCGTGATCAGGATGTCGGAAGCCCACGCACGCATGCATTTGCGAGAAAATGTAATGGAGGCCGATGTCAGCATGGCTATCCGCATGATGTTGGAGAGCTTCATTGAGGCGCAGAAGTTCAGCGTGATGAAGAAGATGCGCAGCACATTCCAGAAGTACCTGTCCTTCCAGAAGGACCATTCCGAGCTGCTCTTCTTTATCCTGCGGCAGCTGACGCTGGATCAGCTTGCCTATATCCGCTGCAAGGACGGGCCAGGTGCCACGCACGTGGAGATTATGGAGCGGGATCTGATAGAGCGGGCCAAGCAGTTAGATATTGTCAACCTAAAACCGTTCTACGATTCGGATCTTTTCCGCTCCAATGGATTCTCTTACGATCCGAAGCGCCGCATCATCCTCCAAATTGTGGTCGACGGCAACACAGCTTAAGTTTTAGTTTCCTATCCCATCTCATATAGTTCGTAGTGCTCACATCCATGTTTTGTTACTCCCATTTTTGGTCTAATAAAGTTTATATACTTATGTATTTATGTAAAACTGAAAATTTACTTTTCATTAGAAGAAAATGCGAACTTTTTCTAACAGATTTTTATTTTCATAAAAATGATCCCAAAAGATGTTGTTATCATTCATTGTCGCCCTCGATGCCCATGGCCTTGTCAAATTCCTCCTCGCTGATCTTGTTCTTTTTAAGCCGCTTGAACAACCTAATATCGCTGGCCATTCGTCGAGATCCTCCTGGCTGAACTGCTGTCTCTTTTTTCCCTTTCCAGATCCCGCCTCTGCCTCCGCCGCTTTCTTTCGCTGCTTCTTGGCTTGCGCAGTTCCTTCTTCGACTTGGCATCCAGTTTGGCCTTCTTGGTCTGATCCCAGGACTCGACGCGCTTCTTGTGCTGTTTCTGGCCCGGCCAGCTGCCCGTTTCCTGGTACGTTTCCATTTTTTTCTGTCGGACCTGCTCTTTTTGGGCGTTCTTGTAGGTGAGCTTGGTGAGGTCCACCTCGAAAGTGGGCGCAATATAGCCGCCTTCCTTGTAGTTCTTCAGCTCCGGCATGCGGGCAGTTGCAGGAGGCCGTAAGCAGTAGCCATTTTGCCCAGATCAGATCTTTTAGCCGGAGAATAGCACTACACTCGTGTTTGTGTATGCCCTCACATGGAGACAAAAGCGCGCATTCCCTTGTCATAAACGCCCTTGTCTGCCACCTGCAGCCGATGCAGTTGATCTAAAATGGCTGGCAGCTGCTTCTTTTCAGCAACAGCATCGTCCTCCGCCTCTTCGGTGGGCAGTTCATTCAGCTCCACCTTCTGGTTGATCTTCAGGAAGTGTATATAGGCATCCTCGCTGGGAAGGAGAAACACCAGAGCGTTTCCCTCGTTTCCCTGCCGAGCAGTGCGTCCCACGCGATGCACAAAGCTGGAGGCAGTCGAGGGTGGATCCCACTGCACACCCACTCGATCTCGGGCACATCCAAGCCGCGCGCCAGTACATCCGTGCAGAGTAGTACAGCTTGCGGTGTGTTCCGGAATTTCTCGACCACATTGGCCCTCTTGTTCTTCATCTTTCCGTGGATGCCAGCACTGTGCGTTTAGGCAGAAGAGGTGGCAAGGCCTCCGCCCAGTACTCTACACAGGCGCAGGTGGGAAAGAAGACCATTACCTTCCCACTGCGAGTGGCGGGTGAACTAAAAACTTCAGCAGCGCCAGGAACTTGCGTTCTGGCTCGACGATCCTGTAGAAGTTCTGCAGGCGGGCGGGCGTGTTCACTGAGGCCTTCTCCTTGACCGAAACAAGTACTGGATTTCGCAAGCCCGCTCGGATTAAATCCGTAACTTCGGTGGTTGGGTGGCGGAGAAGAGTCCAGTTCGTCGCTGACGGGGCAAGTAGCCCAGTATGTTATTTACACTCGTTTTGAAGCCAGGTCCAGCAGACGATCGGCTTCGTCGAGGACCAGGAACTCCAGACTCTTGACTCGTGCCGCCAAATTAAGATCATCGCCCTTGCGCTGAAAGAGATCCTCTAGTCGTCCGGGCGTGCACACCAGAATGCAGGGCGTCTCCTTGCGCAGCGTGGCTATGTCTTCCTCGATGCTGTTGCCACCCACAATCAGCTGTTGATTCAGGTGCTCCAGATCCTCGTGCTCCAGGAACTGTGCCAGCACTTCTGAGATTTGTCGGGCCAGTTCCCTGGTGGGTGAATCACGAGGGCGCCGATCTCTTCGGGCCCCACGGGGTCTCCTTGTGGCGTCTCTGCAGGATTTCCAAGAGGGGCACGAGGAACGCCAGTGTTTTTCCACTGCCCGTCACAGCCTCCGCGGAGACATCCTTGCGGGCCAAAAGCAGCGGAATGGCCGCCGTCTGGACGGGCGTCATCTGCTGGAATCCGAAGCTCTGCACAACCTGCAGCACTGCATCTGAGAGTGGGGGTTTGTCCAGCGACGACCACTTCTTTCGAGACATCGCAATTTATTTTGTCAACAAAACAAAAACATGTGCGTGGTAGTGTGACCTTTCGTCCGGTATCCAAGCCGAAGAGGTGGCAGCGCCGGCTGCTAAATTTTGAAATGCGCGCGTATTTCAAGCATTGCCAGCATGAATTCAGCGTTGCCACACTATTATCATAAAAGCATTCGATTGCCATCGCAATACTCGTTACCATTAGCGCGCCTTTCATAGGCTTATCGAAATTCAAATGAATTGCATAATCAACACTGCATTAAAAAATGTTAAAACAGCCTTGACACTTGCGCTGCATCTCCAACAACAGCTGCCACCGCTTTCACTCACATTTCTATTCGCACCCGCCCACGGTGTCCTAAAAAAAGGCGCCACACACACTGTTTGCTGTTCGGCTGCTTGTATGGATTCCAAATCATCCGAAAAAAGCGTGTGCCATCTGCCGCTTGTCGCTGCATTTCCAAAATATTGATGCCAGCAAATAAAAAAAATCGGAAGTAAAAAGTGTTCGATTTTTTTATTTTTATTTTCATTTCGTCAACAAAATGGGATAGCGATAGCGAGGGGAATCGTGGAGCGGAGTGGAGGACGAGGTGTTTAGACCGGACCAACAGGCTAAACGACCGACCGCCTTGGCAGACGCGCGTCAGACGAATTCGAGCCGGGTCCCGAAAGGGGAAAGAAAAGAGGAAAAAGTTTGGAACGCGTGTGGCCAAAAGTTAATGAAGCGTTTAAAATTAACTTGTGGCCAAGTGGACTCAAAAAACGCTGAACAGTTAGGGCCAGAATGTGGCTACAGTTAAGGAATTATGGCTGCTAAACGGTGTCAAAGTATGTGGTTTAGTCTTTAATTTAATGTAATAAAGTTATAAGTTCATTAAAAACACAAGGCCTTATAGTAGTAAAATCTGAAAACAAACTAAGCAATTAAGTTCCTTGAACACCCCGAGCAGGAGTCACTTTCTGGATGGAGATCGTGTTGGCATTGATCTATTTTCCTCATAAATATGTATTAAATTAGAGGATTCCTTTCATATTTAATTTCTTTTGTACCCAAGGGAATAATCAATTCAAGAACGCCTTCAAATCCCGGCTCGCTGCCGCAGTTCTCATAAGCATGTCCTTGCTGGGTTCTTTGTGTGTTTTTATTTTTTTTGTTTGCCCAACCCTTGAAGAGATTGATTATTGTTTATATTTGTGCCCCTGCACCGATGTGTATCTATATCTGTATCAAATGTATGGGCATGTGAATGCAGTGCAAACAGGCGAAGGATTGTGGTCAACGCCAACGCATCCCCTTTTTGAATTGGGGCAATTAAAGTTGTTCGCTCGACTCACTCCGCTGAATGGCTGCATATATGGACACGTGATAGAGCCGGGCCAGGGAAATTATCCTGCTTTCCCCAGGACGAACCCAAGGTAATTAACCCCTTCTGGCCCTCATCTTCCACTCCTGCGAGGGCGTTAAGTCGGACACGAGTTTCTGGTCAATTTATCAAATAATTCCACGAATTCCTAGAAATCGAAATAGAGCGATCTTAGAGCTGAGATTCTGAAATCGAAAGCCGTCTGGGAATTTGTCCTGGCGTCGGTTCGATCGCTTGTAATTATGCTAATTATGAGTTTGATTGGTTTTTGATTTGTGTTTGTTCTCTCCGAAAAAAAACATTACACTAATTACTGTGCCTTTGATTTTCACACATTTTGCTCTAGTTCCAATTATCCGGAACTCCTCTTCCTGCTGCAAATGGCAAATGCCGAAGGACTTTCTGCAGGATCATTGATCATTTCGGTAATTTGCTGGGAATTTCTCCGCTTTCCGCAATGTCCTTGTCTACCTGACTGGATTCCTTTTCAGCTCCTGTGTGGTCACTTCTGCTACGTAACTACAAATGTCACTTGCGGTTGAAAATATCAATTTCCATAAAGTGCAATTGTCACTTAACGAAGAGACCTCCCCCAATGATCAAGAAACTGTCAGCGCTCCAACTCAATCTCAAAATTTGGATTTCCAAATTAGAAAAACATCAACCAAATACCTGTACAGATTCCGGCAGACAGTAGTCACTTATCTGATGGTCAATTTTTCAATTTCACTGGCTGATGTTGAGAAATTGCCCCCGGTCCATCGATATCAGTTACGATTTACATTTCACTTTTAACATTTTTACACTACCCAAAAACAAGGTAAGACATATCAATTACCCACGATCGGTGTTTGTTGACAGTCGCACTACTGGGATAGGAATAGGAATTGGGATTGGGATCGTATGGCTGCTGGAGGATCCTTCCTAGAAAGTCATTTCTCACACTGACCGTTCTGGGATTTGTTTGTGTTTAATTTCGATTTCTTTTGTCCCGGCTACTTGACTGCGGCCCAAGTGTTTTCAGTTTTACACCAGACAGGCGACGGTGAGCTAAGGTGCCAAAAGTGGCAATGGCACCTATGGGAAATGGGAATTATCATAAACTGACCTCCGCAGAATTAAGTAAAATGAAGGAAAAAAAAAAAAAAAACAGAAGACGAGGGCCGAAATCCTTGAAACCGTTTGAAAGTTTCGCTTTTTTTTGGGCTCTCAGCCCCTCGGTTGTTACCCTAATTTCGGCTCATCTTCATCCAGACTCGCGGGCCCTGATCATCGGCAGCTTATCTCATCTCTCTAGCCGGCGCACGCGTGTCATCCCGGGCAGCAATCAAAGTGATATGAAAATTGCATTTGGGTTCAACAGGTTCGCAGTTTTCGATTGCTGATCGCTGTTGCCGGGGCACTCAAAAAATATCCCCAAGAATTGAAAATAACAATAAAAAGCAATGCACAAAAGGTGAGAATTGGGACTGTTATGTATCTTCTAAAAGAATAACTATCCAGGACATTTTCAATTTTCTAAATATATCTATATATATATTCATTGATACAAAATAATAGTTTTTTATATATTATTCAATTGGATAAATTTATAAACTTTATAATATTATTCTTTGATAATTTTATGAATATAATTTTCCTGCCTATCCTTTTCTTCAGTGCACTCTTGCTGTTCTTTGCTGTTCTGTTAATTTTGTTTGCCTAAAGGTTAAACGTGCGAATTTCACCCAAAGGCAGTCGCCAGTTTCGAGGGCTCCAGGGACTCGATTCGGATTTCGGTGGTAATCGGTCTGACTTCTGACTGGCCATCCACATCCACATCCACTCCTGCTCCTGCTCCTGCTCCTGATCCCACTCCATTTATATCTGCGATTCGCGTACGGTACGCGAATTTCGCTGTTTCGCCTAATTAAATGTAATTTGGTACTTCCTTTTCAGCCGAAATAATGCATATAAATAGTATCTTTAGTTTACATTTTATATTCCCCCACCCGCCACCGGCTCTCATTATTATAAATTTTGTTTTCTTTCAGCGATCGGCGAGTGGCTGAGATCCTGGTATGGCTGTACCCCAACTCCCCCGGAGGTCAGAGGCGTCCCTCTGGCCTCTGGCCTCCATCTCGGGGTTGAATTCAATGGAATTCGCTGGGCCCTCCGCTGCACTCTCTCCTTTTTCGCGGCAAACAAATCTTAAGTGCAACAATATGGCAATTGTTGTGTATTGCTACGAGAACTTGTTAATTGTTTCGCGCTCGAGTGGCCAAGAGGTCTGAATGGGCCTGAATGGGCTGCGGATTCTCCATGCCGAGGTGCTCCTTGCGTTTTCAGGGAAACACTTTCCAGACGGCCCTTCCATTGTGGCCTCCTCCATTCATGGAGTGCATCTAGGGCGGGATCGTGACCCGAATGCCGAGGGGTTCCTGCAATTGCTGCTTTGCCGCCTGCCGCCGCAAATTAGATGCTCAATTACGCTACGAGAACCGAGAATTCCTGGGTAATTTCGGAGTGATTCAGAGCTTAAGTTATTTACACAGAAAAAATATTCTTTTAACGAAATATCATTCTTAAATCGGATGAAAACACGGAGTGTTCGTTTCTAGAACTTGTTAATTTATGTCCGATTTTAACTCTAATATTTACACTAAGATTCACACTTTTAGTTAGCAGCCCCTAATAGTCTAAAAAATGTTGGTAAGCTTAAGGATTGAGGTAAAAAAAGAAACAAAATATAACACTAAATTAAATAAATAACCATATTGAAATAGATTATTGTGATCATTTGGGGTATAACATATAAGAGGAGTTATTTTGATATTATTATATATATTATTTTATTATACTATATTATAGTTTTTGATATTAGTTCTCCTCCCTAATAAAAGATTGTATACCTATTTTCCAATGTGCATTGCTCAATTCTCTGTGCAATCATGGGTGTGAGTCACCCGAAAGTGAATCTTGACCACGTGGTGTACCAGGTCTAGTCCTCGTCTTGAACCCTTCGCCACGCTTTCTCAATCATTTTTCATCCCAGCCACTTCCTTCCGCAAAATGTTCTCACACTTGACCCGCTGTTGGGAGACGCCCAAAGGATCAGGATCGAAATCGGAAGTGGTTGGGCAACAGGAGGGAGCAGCATCTCTCCTAGAACTCTTCAATGTTGTTTCAAATTTTTTGAAAATCTTATTAAAAATTGTTGTTATTGCTGCTGCGCGGCCTTTTCACCGTCTTTTGTGTGTGAGTTTCGTTTTCGTTTCTTTTTTATTGCTTTAATCATTTTTATTTTGTGCGGCTTCCGTGCCACCTGTTATGGTTACGACCATGGCCAAGAACCCGAGAAACCAGCCACCAAGGAGCCAAGAGGAGCTCAACCGAGGTCCTTCAGAGCCTTTTTGATTTTTCTCAAGTGATTGCGTAGTTTTCATCTGTTTTCTTTGTTTCAGCGAGCAGTGTTTCAAATTTGAATTGATCACTTGGCTGAGATCTGGGATAGGGTTTCGTGGGACTGGGACCCGCTCCTCGCTCATAACAATAGCAATCACAATTTGTCGATCGGTTATGATGCCAACTTCCGACTCGGAAACGAGGGTAGGCCAACCAAATGAGGATGCAATATGCACCATGAAATTAATGTTTGATAGCCACATTAATGCCAACGAAGGTTTGGGATTTCTTCCGTACTAATAAAATCGAATCTGTTTCTGGCTTAGAAATCTTCTTTCAGCACATGACCTGCATTTGTCTAATTAGGGATCAATTTGTCTGTGTTACATTAATTTAATCAATTCTTATGGGTTATAATAACAAGCGGGCCTTGAAATTTGAAGGTTTAAATATTTAATGTGTGGAAAACAACTTAGCACAATTTTTGGGAACAGTATTATAGCATTTGCAATACCTTACCTTGCACTGATAATATATTTGATAAATATTTTCTTTAGAAATTTAACATTCTTCCCATATGCTAGCATTGTATAGAATTTAATGTACATTAATATGTGGTTAATGACAGCTATTAATAACTAAGATTAAGATTAAGACAAATTGCACATCCAAATCAACAAAAATTTTAAAAAACAGAAAATAAGCTTATCTTCTCAAACTCTCAATTCGTTAAGCCTTAAATATACGCATACTTGGCACCTATATGGACATGGTAAATCGTCCTATATTTATCTTATTATAAAATATGTGTAGCGAATTTGTCTTGTTTCGATAGGGGATAAAGGATCATCTCTGGCGCCAGTCAGTTGCGAAAGATCACCTGAGATACTGATCGCCAGCAATGTTGGCAAAACAACACAACCGGGTTCAAATTGCCGCATCAAAGTCGGCGACAAAAACTGCTCTGACATGGTCCCATTCCGATCCAATCTAGGCAGATATGCTGCATATAAGGAGCAGCCCTCAACGGGATGATAACCATCAGTAGGCAATCTATGACAAAGAGCCGGCTCAACAGGAGGTGAGGGCGTGCCCAAACAATGACACAGTGGGCGCTGCAAGGACTCAACCCCGAGAATGAGGAAAAGGACTCATCCATCCATCCATCGGTGGACGTGTGTATAATCTAGTTTTAATTTTCATGGGAATTAACCCATGCCCGAACCAATTTGCCTGCTACTCTACCCCGAACAATTTGCAATTTATGCGATATTTGTTTAAGCAATTTTGAACGGCTCCCAGTGTCCAGCGTCCAGAGTCCAGATCCAATTCAATCCCATCCAGTGTTTGCCTCGATTCGAAGCCATCCCAGTCGTATTTGCTTTTTCCACTTGACTTTTTATGGCCGTCGAGGAGCATATGTACATATGATATTTTCCATTTTTTCCACCTCCCCAATTGCTGGTCAATATTTGCAGAGCCAAGTCAAATAGCGGCCAACAATGGTGGCGCTTTCCTCCTCGACTTCTGGGCCTTCAGCATTTGCATATTTAATTGCCTTTAATGAATTTTCAATTTGACAATTGCCAAAATGCCACACACGAGGCCAGGACTCGTAATTTGGGGCCAGGCCACCCACGTGGAGGTATCTCGGTATCTGGGGTTCCGGGAATGGGAATGGGAACTACCAGTTGCGAGGAACTGGACATGGACCTGGAGGAGGGAGGAGATGGCATGCCAGGGCGATTGCATGTCCAGACTCCTGCTCCTTTCGCTCTCGTCTGTAAAATGGGACAGAGTGTTAAATGCTAATAAAATAAGTAACATACAAATTTTTCAATTTCAGCCAAAAAAAATAACTGGGCCGAAGAAGTTTACGTGGGATCGGATTGGGTCTGGTTATGGGTCTGGACAACACTTTCACGGCCCAGAGCGACTTGCTAATGGGAGTCGTTGACGTGCGCCTACTTTCCTCTTATTGGCATCTCCTGCGCCTACACTTCCACATGCCAAAGAGAGTCCTTGGGAAAGGGTATAGGAAGGTATAGTGTTTTTAATCCTAATAAATTAAATCTTATATATGGTAAAAAATAAATGGTACCTACAAAAACACCTCCTAGCTAGCTAAAAAGCTAGTGACGATCGCACCTTCAACATGCCAATGTTATAATATCAACTTTTGGGCGAAAACACGATATTATACGATCTACTAATAAAAAAACTTTCTAACTTGTTTTCATTCGAATTCTCATTAAGGTCTTGGTATAGATCGTTATGATCACAGATTTTTCATCCTGAACTGCCGTCAACAGTAATGATTTACATATACATGATCCTGAAAAATCGTAAGGTACAGATGTTAGAATAAGACTAATGGATGTTATGAAAATACATTAATTCTGCATTTATTTTAGGTACAACGATATGATTCCATTCTACGAATCATAATATTAAATACAAGTTACCAACTCAAATATAAATATTATAAAAATTGAAAAAATAATAAATAAAAAGTCTAGAAAAAAGTTTAATGATTCTATTTAATAATGTTAAAAGTATAATTTTAAGAATATAGTATTTCTATTGTAAGAGTGTTCGGCGTTCCATCTGTAAGGCATCGAGCCATTCAATTGCTTTTGTCATGCGCTTTCTGGAAGCTGCTCCACATCAGTTGCATTCCCATCGATGCACAAGTTGCATTTATGCATATTGACATGAAAGAAATGGCCCGTTACCAGCGTAATGATGCTCCAATGATGGAGCGGCGGTACTGGTTCAGGAGGTATGTGGGTCTGCACTCCTTCACATCGATCAGCTACTCGATAACTGACAGGCACGCAAGGCGCCCGATGCTGACTCGAATCGTCAGGGAAAAAAGGAACTTAACCCTTTTTGCCCTCTTGCCTCAACTGGCGGCACGTGCACCGCAGCAATGCAGCAATGAAAATGTAAATTTCCAAATCGATATGCAGCGGATGCCTTGACATCGGCTAATTCCGATAAGCGCAAACTTTACAGCGGAAGATGCAATCCGATGGATGTGGCATATACGATGCATACATTCCCGATACGATCCATGGATTGCAGGTGTAACAACTGTCGGTTGCGGCAAGTGGCTCGTAAATTGCACAGGACATCGAGGGACGCGCAGGAACTCGAGGTCTCTCAGGGGTGGACGAAAGGTCAAACTTACCTGTGTGCGTCCAATAAATTCGTGTTGCCGTTCCTGGTGCGGTTTGTTGTGTGACATTTTTATCTAATTGACAGCGTTTTTATTGCCCGGCAAAAAAAAAACGAAAAAGATCAGATCCTTTGGGGCGTGCTACTAGTTATGCGACTGGGTGGCCGCGGAACTTCAAAGGTTCGCCTGGTTACTCCTACAATTGGGTGATTTCTAGGTGAATTCATTGCATTATGATTTCCAGCGAATCATTAGGGATCAAGGGGCGTTCTCAAGGGATCCGAGGACCACCGTGGGCGCCTCATTCGCTGTGTCATCCTGGGATCTACAACTAAATTCCCTGCTCATGATAGACCCCACGGCCGTTTTAATTGCGAGGCGCTAAAATGTTAACCCAACTCTTAGTTAGTGTCTGCCACGCTTATTAGCCGGGGTGAAGGTCGGAGCCCAGGATGCAGTCAAGCGTGTCCTTGGACAACCGGCGCTATCTACCCTCTTCAAGGTCTCGGCGAAACAAGCGTATCAATTGGAGAATTTGCCAAGTTGTAATAAACAAGATTTTTCATTGCGATATTCCGCCTCCGACTTTGGGTTAGCATGTCGAATGACCCGAAGGCGGTGCATTTGTAAGGGTTTCCCTGGTCAGGCCAGGTCAGGTCAGGTAGTGTATTGATTCAGATTAGATAAACTCATAAGAACCCTCTGCCATTTGGTGCTGACAAATCGTTGAGGGATTTTTGCAAATTTCGCCTCACTTTGCGGTCGACTTTAATCCCGATTCGATTGTTTGTCCAAGTTCTGTTTGCATTTCCGCCCATAATCCTGTTCCGGTTCTGCCGACCACCCTATAATCATCTTGTTAGCGGCTTTAGATGCCGCGATAGTCCGTTTTCTAGCGCCATTTTAAGCTCCGTTGAAAGTAAGGTAGAATATGAGTAAGAGAGCTGGGCACAACTCACCACCAACTGCCATTGGCCATGCCATTCGGGCGGCACGTGCTGCCCTCAACGGGCAACTCGTTTACCTGGTCCCTACCTGCCCTTCGAGACCTTCGGGCCCCTTTAGCCATCGTGGTGGGTTTGCGGGTATAAATAGGGCCGAAAGGACGAGAGACCAGTCAGAAACCCGCCAGCAACAGCAGCGTTCGTATCGTTTTACCACCAGCAACTAGCAACATCGCCGAATACAGCAGCAACATGTCGTCCAGTGAGATCTATCGCTACTACTACAAGACCTCCGAGGACTTGCAGGGCTTCAAGACAGCCGCCACCGCCGAGACGTACTTCAATCCCATGGCCGCCTACAATCCCGGGGTGACCCACTATCAGTTCAATGGCAACACCTTGGCCAGCAGCAGCAACTATCTGTCGGCCAATGGGTTCATCAGCTTCGAGCAGGCCAGTTCCGATGGCTGGATCACCTCCTCGCCGGCCAGCCACCGATCCGAGAGTCCCGAGTATGTGGATCTGAATGCCATGTACAATGGGGCCAACATGGTCCAGAATCAGCAATATGGAATGGTGATGGAGCAGGCTGTGGTTCCAGTAGCTCCTGCCGCTCCAGCAGTGGCTTCTCCTCCGGCCGTCGAGGTCATGGGCTCCTCCAATGTGGGCACTTGCAAGACGTTGCCAGCTCCAGTTGCTCCCAAGCCCAAGCGCAGCTATACCAAGAAGAATCAGACTGCCACCACCTCACCGATCTCAACTCAGGAGCCAGCTCAAGTCAATCTCTACACCGAGGAGTTCCAGAACTTTGACTTTGACAACTCCGCCCTGTTCGACGACAGCGTGGAAGATGATGATGACCTTATGCTCTTCAGCGGCGGCGAGGACTTGAGGGCAACGATGGATCCTTCGATCTGGCCGATGGTGAGAATCAGGAGGGCTCTGCCGGAGGCTCGGGAAAGAAGAGGCGTGGCAAGCAGATTACGCCCGTGGTGAAGAGGAAGCGCCGCCTGGCGGCCAATGCCCGCGAACGTCGCCGGATGCAGAACCTCAACCAGGCCTTCGACCGACTCCGCCAGTACCTTCCCTGCCTGGGAAACGATCGCCAGCTGTCCAAGCACGAGACCCTCCAAATGGCCCAGACCTACATCTCCGCTCTCGGGGATCTGTTGCGCTAGTATCCCTACCATAAAGACCATTCTCAGTTATTGTTGGAGCTTGCCAAATGTTGTACCTACTCTGTATATATAGCCAGAAGCCCAGTAGTGAATTACCGACTAAGTATTATGCTGTTTATTGTTTAGTTAATTAGCCTAAATGGAAGACAATGATTAAGACTAAGGAAGACAAAATAAAAGCACTATTCATAAATTTATATATTTTTGGTCTATTTTATTATTTGGACTCTCTTGCAGCATTTTATTTACGGAGATTGGAAACCCATGGTAAAAAATCCAGCGTCTGTTTAATTATGTTTAAATTGACAGAAAATAAATAACAATTCTTTTTTTAAATCAACACATGCATTTTTTGAATCATTATTTATTTTTCTTTTATTAAATATGCCATCTCCAAATCGGTTCACTGTCAAATGTATTATGTTCTTTGAAAAATTACAGATAAGAACTAACATGTATTTCACATTTTAAGTTATATAGTTCTTTGTATATAGTCCTTTTAAATGCATTTAACATTTGGGATAACTATTTTTGTAATATTGAACTGTGATCAGTGTAGGGACATTTCCTTTTTAAAAATTTTAAAGTTAACTTAAATTTTGTTTAACTTTTATTCTAGTCTTGAAATTCATAAATTCCGTCCATGAAAAAGCCCCTGTAAGGCTCCCTGTTAAATAAGCCATCCAAATCTTTTTATCTCCGAACTGCTCTGCTTCCCTTAACCCTCGACATCCACACTTATCGGCGGGGCATCAATTCTCACACAGTTTTTCGAGGGTTTAGCGTCTCGCGCCCAGTGAATTGGGCTTTATTATATGGGGGAAGGTGATCGATTTGGCGCTTCGCGATCAATTTGTAGACAGTTCGACAAAATTAGGGCCTGCTCCTCGGGCTGGCCAAAACAAATACGATCCCCGGCGATCCCCAGAGCAGTATTGTGCCAATGCCAATAATTACACGGCACGGCGCGCCGGAGTGTAGCTGCCAAATTAAGTTAAGTGTTGGGCTGATCTGCTTTCAGCAGTCGCAGGTCGCATGCAATGTCCGTCCCTGTCCCAAAAACCTTTTCAACTTTTCGTCCGAGTCCAAGTCCGAGTCGAGTCCCGAAAATCAAGCGCCACTCACAAATCGTTTAAGGCGAAGTTCGATCCTCGATCGTTGTTGGCGGATAACCTCAGCGGCTTAAGACCTTAAGCCGAAACTTGCACTCAGAGAAAAGATGGTATCTTGAGAAGGAAAGCTTTATAAAACTATTCAGGTGGTTATTTTGGAAGTTTTGAATTTCTTTTTATTTTGAGTTTGGAGCAAGCTTCTGTTTAAACGAACTTTTTATAAAATTCTTAAGATCCTTAAGTTATCTTAAAATATATGATATAAGTCCTTTAATAAAGTGGTCCTTTGTAAAAATACAAATATAAAATATTTTAGATATGACAAAAATAAAACTAAACAACTGTTTTGTAAAATACTTTCGATCCAGAAGGAAATTTTAATACCAAACAAAAATGTTTGTAAAAAATTGCCGGAATTTGTAAAATATTATTTGGAAAATATTTGATATGGTAAGAAATGTAAAAAAAATATTTTCTAAATTATGGGTGGTTCTTTTAAATTCCAAAAAGTTATAATGGAATATCTAAATTTCCTTTACCTTTTCGTTTACGAAAATGGATTTTTTTGATCAATAACCCTATTAAAAGGTATATCTCTTAAACTGGCATATATTTTTGGTTCTAAGGACAGAATGATAGTTCTGATGATGATTTTTGGCAGTGCAGCCTTTCATTCAGCAGAAAGCGGAGCAGATCCCCGGCCCAGTCAGTCAGTCAATCATTCGGAAGATTCGAAGCCAATTTGTTGATAGCGACAGCGCCTGTTGACTGCTGACGATCGACTCCCGCATGGGAATTGGAGCGCTTGGATCGGGATCGGAGGCGGGGGGCGTGGCAGCGACCGGATTTGGTGGGCTGTTTCTGTTTGTTTTATAAAATCATTTTGCAGGCGTCGCCGCAAAAGCTTTGGGGATTTCGGGGCTCATAATCAAAAGGAAATTCACATAATTAGTTACGCGGCATCGACAGGGCTTCGTTAAATTGTTAATGACTTAATTTAGTGGTCGCGGTAGGTGCGGGAGTATCTTTTTCTCAGTTTTTTTTTTTTTGTTGGGATTCAGGCAATTATATGTGTATACGAGGTACAAAAGCGATATCCTGCCGATATCCCTGGAGTGTCGCTCTTGTTAGCGACAATTTACGGCTTTGAACGCTTCCGCACAAAGCGCTGCCGTCAATTTGTCAATTACACAAATTGTTCGGATCGGATTGGGTTCGAATTCGTATGCCCCGAACACCAAAAAGGGTGAGAGAGTCGGGATCTCAGGGGTCTCTTCCTGTGGATATCCCTCGTTATTCCCGGGGAGCAGCTACCATGCCACCTGCATGCAGCTGCACAGATTCGGACTTGGATGCGAATTCAGATCCAGCTCCCAAAAGTGCAACTGCCTGCCAATACAATTAGTTAGAATTCATGAATGGACCCCAGTCGAGTTCTGGTTTCCAGCTTTCGGCTTTCGGCTTTTGGCCTTTTGGCTTTTGGCAATGCCGCCGACACAGCAGCAACATCGAAAACAGGAGGAGCAACACCGGCAACATCGGCAGCAACTTGCATGTCTTTGTCAATTTATAGACAGCTTGCCTGAGCATTATTAACACTATTATTATGCATTCGATGTCCGTTCTGGGGGCTGCATATTTTGTGGGTTTTTCTTGTTTTTTTTTTTTTTGCAGACAGGGGAGAACGAATGCTTCGAAATTTGTCATGTCGATAATTGGCGAGCTTTATTTTGAGGTTTCTGAGGTTGCTTGTTTTTTGTATCCGCAGCTTAAGCAGTTAGTGGCTGCATTGCATCTGCATCTACATCTGCGTTAAGTAACTTAATGAGCTTTAACACCATCAATTTGTCACTTCTTGTTAGTGTCGCCATGGGGCAGGATCTGAATGGGCTTACGGTTCCAATCGCTTCGGTTTTTGGGGCTCGAGTTCATTGATTGCCAGTTGAATTGGTCTTTAAGGCTCTTTTGTGATCCTTAGGAAATGGACTCGTTAAGTGCAGATCAAAGCGGTCCTAATGAAGTTCAAGGACTTGAAAACCAACCGAAATTGGCATTGTAAACTTTGAAATACATTATATATTTTTAAGGTAACAGGTTGCCCTAGTAAACCATATTGTATATTCTGTAAGATTCAATTACCCTCTGTACACTTTACCATTGCGGTTTTGGTATGTTTTGAAATAATTATTACACTATTTCTTTTTTAATGTTTTTCTTTCAATTGAAAAGATTTTCTCATGCCTTTTTGGGCACAATTTTCCTCATTTTCGAAGGTTAACCACAAGCATTACTTTGTATCTTTGTATCCTATTCTCAAGTGCAGTTTCCGTTTCCGCCGATTTGTTTTGGCATTGTTGTGTGAACATTTTGCGCTGATCCTTTAATTGTTGCGCAACCTTTGCCAGCGAAATTGCAGGAACTCAGGTCGGCCAGCCAAGATAACCCAAGGATTCGGTGATTAATGCCAGACCTTTCTCCCAAGTCGCGTGTGCAGCGAAATTATTGGGTATTCGTAGATGGAAAGTGTGTGTGTGGGCATCGGCATCCGATTGGTTTTGGCCATACTCAAAGTCCGGGCCAAATGAATGCAATTATTAAGTCATAAAACGGACAGCGTAAAATGCCAAAGTCTGTAATTAGCGACACCAAATCACGCCAGCCACGCCCCTTCTTCCTTATCCTTTCCCAGCCCATTATCGGACATTGTGTGAGGTCCGCGGGATGGGAGAAAGGAGAAAGATTACCTGGCCAAAGGGAAAGGAAGGACTCTATTAAAGGTCACCGTTTGTTTAGGGAAGTTTTGGCCCACAAGAGCGGCAATTAGTCAAACGATTCGCAACGCATCTACCATCAATCAACGGCGAGCCCAGAGCTCCGATTACCGATCCTGATCATCATTATCATCCTTGTCCTTGTCCTCCTCATCGGGAGCAGTAACAAACTTAACCGTTACCCATTTGACAAATAATTCGCACGGCCAACGGTTCAAAAATCTTGGGTAACTCAATTAGCCACACAGACGATCGGCACGGCACACTTGAGTGACTTTCGGTTTCCAGAGACAAACCCGAGAGCCAAGACCCCAGACCCAGAGCCCAGCCCAGACCCAGAGCCCAGAGCCCAGATCCCAGACCCACCAAGTAGGTGGGCATCCCATTCCAGATACCTACATAATTTGGATGGCATCCCGAAAAGCCAAAGTTCTCAGTATCTCACGCTGCAGCCAACGGTGATCGAAGATCGACAGTGAAAGTGCATCAAGAAATCAAAGTCGTTCTGGATTTTTTGACAATTTTTTGGCGAGGCATCAAATTAACACAAGGCAAAAACCTTAAGATGCTACCAAGACGAGGCGCAGAGCAAACAAAAAAGCATCAAGGGATATTAAAGAGAATACGAATTGGTTATGCCCTACAATAAGCAATTAATTTGTTAAGAAAATATAGATGATATACTATTTTTTTTAAAATTCTGAGACATTTATCTTTATCGTCCTTAAGGTAGAGTATATATTATACAATTCAGATTATAATAGATCCTAATAAATGATTCTACTTTGGGTTTATCTTACATTAACTTCAAGGAAGAGTACCCAATATGTTGGCTACCAAATATCTTTTTCTCAGCATTTTAACTGAAATTGCCACACGCAAGCCATCGCTTTGTCACGTTAAGAGGAGAGTCTGAAGATTTGGTCTGGTCTGGTGATTCGTGGTCCGGGGCCTGTAATTTTGTATTGACATTGGGTCATTTGATACAGTTTTCCAGCTCATTTGCTTGTAATTGGGCACCGAAGTCTCGCCCAGACTCCGCTTGGAATCTTCGGAGACTCTCTTCTGGTCACCCCCTGGCCCTGTGCGTCGGGTTGACGACTTTTCAAATTATCAGTAATATTGTGGAACTTGTATATTTATTAATCGGGATTTCGTGTGAAAAATGCGTCCAGGGTGCATTCATACATTGTGCTTGAGCCCGGCTCAGCAGACAGCAACAAGAACCACATTTTCGGCAGGACCCCTCAATTTAATGTCAACGACGTCGGTGGCGTTGGCATCACTTCGTCTCTTGGCCAACTCCTTTGGGTCTTTTTTTCTTATAAACAGTGACTTTGCCACCTGCATTGACTGGCCTCCGACTCTGCGATTTTTGATTTTTTTTGGGGACTGTCGCGACCTGGAGTGAGTGTGAACTTAATCCCTTGGCCCCAATTATTCAAGTAATTAAGTATTAATGTGCGAAATTTTATCACCTGCGGTCAGGGGTGCGATGGCTTTGAGCTGAACAAGCCGTGATTTTCCAGCCGATTTGTGTTTAAACGGTCGTGAAAGTGGGGCTTCTTGAACCCGATATCGGGAATAAGCTGAGCTTAGGGAAAAAATCTGATTTAACTTTAAGCATACTTTGGAGAACTTATCCAGCAGTTAACTTTATAAGTTTCTGTTTTAAGCATTTTAAATAGCTTAAAATTAATACCATTACCCAAACTTTCTCTTTCCAACCCACAATGAAATGAAAACTACTCTGTTCCTAAGTTACCTTAGCAAATATCTTCTAGGAATAACCATAACTTTGAGTGATTGCCTATAAAAATCGACTGATCAAGAGATGCCGCTACAGGTCGCCAAGATCTAAAGAATCGGGCCTTGTCCGAGTGCAATTAGCAGATATAATCCGTGTGATTCCACCCAACTAAAATGTCAATAACAATAAATTCCTGGCAGCTAAGCGCCGACAAAACTGGCGATCAAGATAGCGATGTGATCAGCTCATAATCAATTCAATTGCCCAGAGGTCCAGATCAGGCCAGCCCAGTAAAAAGGGTATAGGGAATCCAAAGGATTCTCCGAGGACCCCACAGGACTCGCTTCGCATAATATTTTAGAGGCGTGTTCCGCCTGTCAACATTTTATGTTGGTGGTCAGAGAGTCAAATTGTGGTCGCAACTGACACAGCAGCCCAAGAAGGAAAAATCCCTTGGATGCTGAGAACCGCGCGGGTGTTCCCAGGACAGGTCCTTGAGCGCACAATGGAACAATGGCGAGTCCTTTGTGAAACAAAGGCCCCTACTTACAACACATTATGACACGAAATCGAAAACGAAAACGAAAACTACTCGGAATGCCAATGGGCATTTTATGGCCCTCCGTAGTCCTGATTCATTGCTATTGCTCTATTTCTGGGGCTCCTGGCGAGCTGCGGCATGTCCTTGCGACTCCTTTTGATGCATTGAATTTGCGTGAACCACAACTAATTTTATTGCTTAATTTTTTTGTATGCCAGTGGCTTTGCGGCGATTTGTCTAATTGAATTGCGCGATCTGTAAAATTATACATTTGTCTCCGCGGCCAAGTTCATTATTTATTTCTGTATTTCAACCGACCCCTCGATTATGGGGGTTAATGTAAATTACCCTTTTTGTTTTCGTTGCCTTTGATTTGGTTTTGTTTATGGTCGTTTGGTAAACGATTTGGGGATTTATACCTGCGGGAAATGCCCATACATACAAGCGATTTATTATAAAGGATCCATTAGGACAATTTGTTATATAATTGTATGCCATTCAAAAAACAAAATAAGAGCATAAAATTAGTTCACTAAAGTTTGGAATGTTTGGTGATTTAAAAAAAAAAAAATAACTAAAAAGTTATAATATTTCTTGTAGTATTTTTTCTTAGCGTTGAGATAAAACATATTTAATTATGATTGTAATTCAATTTAATACTAATTCTCTTTATATGATATATCGTTTTTGTGATTCTCAACCCTTAAGAAGGTTAGATTTTTCTATCATCTTTGTAGACGAACCAATTATTGTGGCGGGCATTTTTAGAAGTTGGCCAGCTGACGCTCCGATGTTTTGGCCTGATCCTGAGGCACACGTGTTCATTTGGCAGGCATGCGCGCGATTTCGGGGCTCAATTTGGATTTGTAAGCCGAGCCCCGAATGTCTGTGCATCCTTGTCGGCCTCACACCTTCCCCAATACCATAATACCAATGCCCAATACGCAATGCCCATTACTCTCTTTCCATTCCCCAGGAGCAACCCTTTCCAGTTCGGTTTTTTTTTAATTTTTGGGGCTCCCTGGCCGAGTCCTTAAAGCCGCTTATCCTGCTGTTGCTGTTCGGGTTCGACTGTCTTCCCCGCTCTTCCTGCACTCGTGCTCCGATCGGAAGTCAACAGTAACTGTTGGTCGAGTGCTCCTGCTTCCTTGAAATTGTCTGCCAGGTCGGAGTGGAGAAAGACCCAACCGTAAACGAAACAGCTACAAAAGTATAAATTCAAACGAGAGGTAAAACGGTCCAGGCACTCAAAAAAACATGGTAATCACTGGAAAAATAAAAAAAAAAGCGCCATCTAAAAAAACTTAAGGGATTATGCATTAAACTGAGTTAATATAGTTTAATCTGGAAGATCTAAAAAAAAAATGATCTAGTGTGGTACATTTTGAAACAGATATCTGGGGTATTATATAAGATTTACCATAAATTTGACTTCAGCTAGATTACTAGCAGTTAGCACATCTCATAGGTTAGGAACTTTAGTCTTATGCTGTTAGGATTGGTTGAGATTGTATTGAATGCGTTTCCTTAAAATATTTTTAAACGTTAAGAAGAAACCAAAAACTCCTGATAGATTTTTTTTGACTTTTTTCCTAATCTATAATTCCTGATGGAAAAGGTTTTTTTAGAATGTTTAAATTATTTCGAGTTCATTTCTAATCGAGGGCTCGTTTCTAACCACTTGGAACATTTTTTCTGAGTGATGGAGCGAAGGAGCGTGGGCAACCCAATTTCCGAAGTCAAAAGTGGCACCAGATGACGGCGTGCGCCGTTCGTTTGTTCTAGAAGGAGACGGGCGAGAGGTCCTTCGGAAGGAGGATCGGCAGAAGATGGCATATGTTGCGCCCTGGCTCTATCTCGCTTTGGCCAATGCCCCGAGACGGATCCTTTTCGCTGGCTTTCACTCGCACGCCACGCGGCTCGTCCTGCGAAGACTATATCGATTATTCCTTATTGTGAGCCCAAAACGCGCCAGTTGGTCGCTGGCGGAAACCTCGATCCTCAAGTGTATGGTATATGGGAGTAGTCAACTGCTAGATATCCCGGAGGCTAGGATGAATCGCTTTTGGTTTTCGGCCGACAGAAGGTCTAGTTACTGTTACCCGAAAGTTCGGCAGTAGCACTCAGGAGCCCACGCAATTAAAGCTGCATCAATCAAAATTAAAGACAATCCGGCAGCGATTTTTAAACGCCATCTAGGCACGTAAGCCGAATTCCAAAGACGCCGACTCTTTGATATATTTGCAGATCCTCCGACAGAATAGCTTGTGTCAATATGTCTCAAGGTAAAGGCCATTAAATTCAAATTACACTTTAATGGAAGCCTACAAATCGCCAAATATCCCCGAATTTCTCTATATTGTGGAGGCTCATTATAAATTAATTAGCTAGCAAGTAATTTTTAAAACACAATGTATGTCGAAAACGACAATGAGTTCTATATTTTAAATAAAAGCAGCATGAAACGGTGTTATAGTTTTGCTTATTTTGTTTTCCAATATAAAAAATTTTAGCTGCTTTTCAGAATTCAGATAAACTAGAGTGATGTCATTATTTGTAAGCATGTAACCTTATCAAGTTCACTTCACTTTTTATCAAACGGAAATGGCTAATACGACTTCAGATTCATTGGTAAATAATAAATTCTTGAAGGTATATATTTGCAGTAAATGAAGCTTTATTATCGATAGTAAGCAAACTGACCATTTTGTTTTTGACAAGTTAAGACTTTCCAAAGACAGTTATCACATGAATTGCTGGTTAATCAATAATGGTCTGTCCCATACGATCAGTGAAAAAGGACTTAAGTGCATTAAGTGCAACCTCTTGCACTTTTCGGTCCTTCAATATAAGGCCTGCGGTCGCAGAAGGACCGACATTGCTGATCCTGATATAGCACTGGTTACATGATTCTTAAGTTCTTCTCGCTGACTTTTCGATAAATCATTTTGATGACCTCACCCAATGACTTAAATTTTCCTGGAATTAAACGACTGTTAGGAATAGTGTTCACCGTAGCGCCTGAGAATCTTGCCTTTTGTAAGTCCGTAGCCTGCAAGTCCACCTACGGTCCCACCCACAGCAATGCCCGGGGAACCCATTAGCATCCCCCCGACTAGGGCACCGGCAGCACAAACGGCTGCTCCTTTGGCCGACTCCTTGACGGTCACCTGAATATTGTCTTCATCGGCTAGTATGGCCAGGGCGTTTAGTATATCCTGGGTAATTGCAGCCATTCTTATAAGTTATTTGCAAAAATTGTAATCAGAGTAGGTAGCTTCAGAGCTATCCGGCAACTGCGTGTGATTTCGCAATACAGGTTCCTTATCAGTTTAATGAAAGTAAATTATTCACTGTGGAGGAGAGTTACTTGATAGAAATCAAGTTTTCTCCATTATTTTGGCTATCGATCTATCAATGTTAAGTTTCGCACACATAGACCGAAAGCTTTCTGCAAATTTTTAAGATAACCAAATATCCCAACCATTTATTTAAGCGCTCCGAACTCTTTTAGTTAACATACAAATACTTTCTAGCCGTGGATAACGGATATAGAATTTACTTAATAGCTGGGTCTATTTTAAATTTGTTTTTTTATTGGATAGAGTCTTAAACCCAACAGTCACTACTTTCGGATCTCGGTTTCCAATAGGCAAGAGTCGCGCGCTCACCGTCACCAAAATCCGTCAGATGTCTGAAGGTGCTCAACAGATGTTGGAGTAGGCGGAATTTGTGCAGCTACAATACCGATGCGATCATCATCGGGCAGCAACTGTTACAGGCAGTAAAAATAAGATAAAATTCAGACTCTTAGTTAAATTGCAGCAAGAGCCGAAATAAAGAGTCGTAGACATTTTCGTTGCTGCACCGTAAACAATGAGAGAGAAGCAGGAGGTGATGTGATCCTCATACGTATTCTACAGATTCTCGATTCGAAATTCCGCTCAGTGTGCCGAAGGCAGGTCAAAATAATTTGGCTTACTGCGGAAGCGAGAGGAACTGGCCGATCTCGGTTTCCGTCCCTATCCTATCTCTTTCTAGGGCCAGCTGTCGCCCATTCGGATCCGTATGCCACCATATACTTGTATTATATCGTGTGGCTGCCACGTGTCGTGGGCAAGTCCATTGGGCAATTGGTCAACTCGGCCGAACAATGGCCAATTAGTATGCATGCGACTTTGAAAAGTGAACTTGCGATTAGCCACAAAGTTGCCCGAAATTTGCAAATACAGTGGAGCCTCCCTAGTTCGAACCAAATGGATGGGCAAACATGTGGCATTAGCACAAAGATGTAAACTTGTTTTCATTTAATATTTATAAGTACGTTGTTTTGAAAAAAATTAAAAATTTATTTTGAAATTTAAAGTAAACTAAAAGATATTTTAATAACTCTTTAGGAGAATTTCGTTCATATCTATAAAAAAACTGGTCTCTGAATGGGCTTTTATTAAAAATAAAGAGTCTACACTCATACTTCAATTTTATTTACAGCTAAAATATACTAATATAGGGATTTTGTAAAACCATTTAAGAGAGGTTCCACTGTGCCTACGAATATGCAGATAGCTGCACCAGATCGGCTGCAGCAGCTGTAAAATCAATCAAAAACTTGTCAAATAAATGTCATGCATAAGCAATAAGTGAACAGGATGTGGCGAGTCCTCGGCCCCTGTCATCTTGTGGGTGCATAAATTTGCCATTGGCTGCATTTGCCTGGACTCTCTGGTAGTAGGACTATTGCTCACAGGAAGGGTTCACTGTTGCTGGCATTGATCCTGCTCTTCGTGCAGATAGTCGCCAACCTGCTGGACCACAGTGGCACAGCACCGCTGTGCCTGCTCCACTTGCTCCTCGGTGGTCTGATGGGTTTGCACCAGGAGCAGGGAGGCATTGTGCAGGGATTGGGCCATTCCTTTGTTGATCTCCGCCATGGCGTTGATGAAGCAAACACTTCCACCCGCCGAAGCCACAGGATTGAGTGGGGAAGCGCCCAACATCTGGCACTTGGCTGGCAACTGGGCCATCTCCTGCACTAGCTCCTGGATCCTTTCCAGGGCCAGCTGTCCCTCCAGGCGGAAGCTCTCCAAGAGATCTCCCAAACCGCCCATGCAACCACCCACTTGATGGGTCACATTGTCGTTAAGATCATCCAAACTCCAGGCCACATTGCAGTCGGGATTGGCCACCAATATCTGGTTGGTTTCGAAGATCACGTCACTTAATTGGGCCAATGCATTGGCGGTGAGGACCTCGATGTTTCCGGCGATATCCTGCTGAGTCCGGTTTATTTTGCCCTCTAACTGAGCGGTGGTTTCGTCGCTGACATCTACAGCAATCTCCGCCAGGTTGTCCACCACCATAGAGACGGGTCCGTAGTTTGTGGTATCTGTCTCCACTCGGATCACCTGGCAGTTCTGCAAGGATGAGAGACTGCATTCGAAAAGATCATTGCATTCCAAGGGCACTACTCACTGCCAAAGTTAGGAAAAGCAGTCCAAATACTCCAATGGTTTGACTCATCATGTTTGTGTTGTATTTTCTAATGCGACTGGCCCTCCGATAGTCTTGGTATATATAGTCAAAAGATTTACAAAGTGTCGCGATAAGAGATTGCCTCCTAAAAATCACACTACCAAACATAAATTCCCCATTAACCTAATGAAACACAGTGCACGTATAATTTAACGACGATACTTTGATACACTACCAAAATTTGATCGATTGCTTTTTAAATAGAAGTTCCAAGCTGAAATTATTCATAAAGTTCTGCAAGTTGTAAGATTCATGTTTTTTAACCTTGTAATAATATTGTCAATGTATCTATCTTTATTTCGTCGCATAGCAGATCATTTGGTTCCCTGTAATTGCGACACGATCGATGACTAACTTGGTATTTATATTAGAGATAGACACTCGGAGTCTACCTTGTGATAAGGGTCTTCCCATAAACATTAAAACACATATTGCCCATTTGTTTAATGCCAATTCTTCATAGCAGAAAATATGTTATATTTAAAATGGGCGTTCCTTTTTACTCTTTAATTTTTACTAACTAAAAAAACATTTGTATTGGCAAACTTATTCTAAGCTGAAATATTTACAAGAATATTTTATAATTTTTTTTAATAGTAATATATTATTTAATTAAATTGTTCTTAAGTATATTTTAAAAATTTAAGAAGTATGCAAACTGTTTATGTAGCTATCATACTCGTTGCTTTAATGATCTATAAATAAACGGCAGATTCGTGAAAGGTATCAGATAGAAATATTTTTGGCAATCAATTTTATTTAGTTTCAAGATGAGAATAGAACGGGTGACTTGGCTGTTACTGCTGTCGCTTCTTTGTGTAACATTTAGCTTTAGTATAAGTACAAAATAGTTAATAACACTCCAAATTTACAGGTGCGTGGGCAAAACCGAAGAATTTGGGGTCAGAATGGACCGCTCTATGAGTCCACAAGCAGCTGATATCAAGCCAAAGCTCCAATGCTGCCAGGATCTGGAACGACACTCAACAGGCGATCTACGAAAGATCCGAGCGACTTCAGCTGGCCAAGGACACATTGGATGATCAGCAGCGAGAGGTCAGTGACCGCTTGGAGGAATTCTTGGGAGTCAGTACAGCGCCGTGTGGCGTTCCTGCTTCAAGAAATACGAAGTACAGGTGGCCCACTTCAATCGGGAGCTGGTGGACAAGTACAGCATCTGCAGCAATTCCCTGGAACACATCATGGACCATTTCCAGCAGAAATCGTGCTCGAAGTCGAGTTCCTTCGAAGTGCTTCTCTAGAGATTGCCAAGTTGTCAAATACCTGCCGCACTTGGCAACTGAAGCAGTCCGGTTTTAATCACGCCGGAATCTTGTCCTGCACTATTTCCGGAATTGGGAGGATCAATCAACGGATGACCGGTTCCCTGGAGCTTTGCGATGACATCCTGCTGGAGATGTCCATGGAGGATCTGGACACACCAAGTTGCCTTTTCTACCACAATCTTAAGATGGAGTTCGATGAGGTCTTTGCTGAGATTGAGCAGTGTGCGATAAACTAAGAGACGGAAATAAAGTGAAATGCAATAGGTTTTACCTAATATTCCCTATTCTTCTAAGTTAGATAGACCATTCATTAAAAGCTCCTACAAATGTTAATTGGTTACTAAAACATTACCCCGTGGAGTGTTAAATATAGCGTAGTATTAGCGATAAGCTGCGATTATCGCATTCTATTCAACGCGTGTCCACTTGAGGAAATCCAAGCGATAGTGTTTTATGAGCTATACTTCTTCCGATAATGGAGCTGGTCAAAATTTGTCCTCAGTTGCACTTAATCAGTTGGCCGGGCAAAATGGTTAGGAAAGCGCTGCTCCTGTTGGCCAGTGTGCTGCTCTTTGCTCTTTGTGGTGCCCACCGGGAACTGGAGAATCTGTTGCAGAAGCAACAGGTGACTTGCAGTTGTCCAGCGATGAAGTGGCGGCACTGCGTCCATTGTACCTTGAGTTCCAGGCCCAATACGACTATTGTACAGCCTGAAGCTCCAAAATGGCGATGGAAGTGATCAGAATCCCAGAGAGGAGCCTGAATTGGATGGTAACTACCTGCAGGCCTTTGAGGACTTTCGCAGCAAGTTCTCCATTTACTTGGATGAGAAACCCCGAGTGGTTTATGACACTAAACTGCCAACCGTTGAGGAGATCATGGGAGAACCCAGTGCCGATTTCAGCCCCGATCAGAGGGCGGAATTCGAGGACCTCAGGGATATAATACAGGATGTGATTGACGAGGCCCAGTAGGGATTGACGACATGGTGGAGCGGGCCATCCAGCTGGAGACGAATCTGCTGCAGCTTAATAAGCCGAAGATTGTGACCGCAGCCATTGGCGGATTGGGATACATGTGGAAGTACTGGGGGCGTGGAAGTCAGGCCGCCTACTGCAGCTACTCGCAGGTTCCGGAGTTCCAGATAGCCCTGCAGGCCATCAACGATGGCGTTGATTGCTACTCCCGCACCATGGCCCTGATCATACGCATCCAGAACGAGACGGTGGCCGCCGTCAAGGAGGTCAAGAGGAATGTCAGCAGCCTGGTGAAGATCTACAAGAAGATCGCCGCCAAGCAGACGACTGTGGGAAAGATCCTCTCGGGCACAGTGAACGCTCTCAGTGCAATCCGCCGGGTGCACGACATCATCGCCGTTGGAATCGATGTTTACGCCAAGATTAACATCAAATTGCCAGGAGAGGCTCTCCAATCCGCACAATGCGGCGTGGTATTTGTCAACAGCATACCCCAAATGCTGGAGACCGGCCCAGAATCTGACGACGTGCATCACCTACGTGAATCCGGATACCATAGACTTCGAGTTCACCCACCCAGAAGAAGATCGCTACTGGAACACCGGTGCTGAACCTCCGGAAATTCCCCATGAAAACGTGGTGGACGATGATGACGACTATGTGGACTACGCGGAGCTGGACGACTATGAGGATCACAGATAAGCTTATGCAATTCCACCGATTGGATAAGGGAAGTTAATCTTAATAATAAAACCCCAGATAAGGCAAAAATTGATCGTTGTGATTAAAATTATGTTTTAAAAAATCTGTTGGTAAACTATTATAGCAGAAAATATTTTGTTAGACAAAAAGACATCAAGAAACATTCCATTCATGAAAGACTTCAAAAAGTGTTGTAAAAACTACTTACTATACTTACTATCAAATTCCACTGGCTATATTTATTAGTTCTTCTAATCTTAAAATGGTAATCGCACAATTCCATTAATTTATTGCACAGAAGGAACAGTAGTGACTTTCTGTTTAATTTACATATATTTCTGGTTAGATATAAAAACAAAATGAACCTAAAATGCCATTCCAAAATTTTCAATTTCGTGGGAGGTAAAAAAAAGTATTTTAGTAACTACACCTGAAGATATATTTTCTTTATGTTTGACTTTACAATATTTTTGTTCGTGAATGGCTCGTTGAGTATCTTTTATTTTGGTTTTACATGGTTGCCATTCGTTTTCGTTTTTTTAAAAAGCTCGATAAAGTTAATTATTTTTCCATATATTTTTTTAATTGTTCATAAAATGCACTCATTTATCTCGCACATCGACTTTATAGATTACTGCTATGACTAGATTCTGGACTTGAGACTGGGGACTCTGACTAGACGTCGCTCTCCTTCAGCTGGCGCACATACTGCTCGCTTAGGGACTTGTTTATTCCTTCGTTATTGATGGTCGAAGGACCTGCAGCCTGTGGCGTGCTCTGGGACTTTGAGACATTCCGTCCCGTGGGACTGGGTGGTGGCTTCTCCGCCCCAAAAGCCTGTGGTATGACATCGGCCATCAGGGTTTGCCGACAAAGGGCGGATAGAGCGCTTCCCGGACTTGGAGGTGGATCCTTGGGCTTCTTGTTGCCCCTTCGTAACTTTGAGGTGAGAGTGGCGAATCCCAGTTTACTGGAAATCTTGGCACTCCGACTGACGGCTCGTGGCAAACTGTCGTAGGCACTGGAAGTGCCCACACTCTCCTGATCCGTAGATACCTCGTGATAATGCTGTTGTCTGTTGGCCTCCTGGGCAGCTGCTCCTCCTCCTCCCCTCATGCTGCCCGCACTGATGCTTTTTTGGAGCACCACTGAATTCGTTGCCTTGCTGGGTGTTTGGGGTTCCTGGCGAGGAGTAACCGGAGCACTCTGCAGGAACTGCGCCTTGGCCAACTGGAGGCGTCTGGCCCTCTCCGAAAGAGGAGTAGCTGGGCGATCTAGGGTTAGACTTTGCGGAGGTGGGAACTCAAACTGTTGGCCTTGGTGGGCGTATTGGGATGTTTTCGCTGGATCCTTGGCAAAGTGTTATCCTCCTTATTGGCAGGTTCAAAGGAACAGGTGACGGTGGTGGAGGATGCACCCTGGAGAAGCTGGGTCCGGAGCTGGTCTTGGCTATCTTGTGCTCAATCCTGTTGCTAGCATTCGCACTGTGCGATTTGTGCAGCGAGTTCTTCTTGTAAAGATGAGCTTTCCTTGGTGGAACTGGGGGGTTGCTTAGCTCATGATTTCTCTTGGACTCAGCCAATCTCTCCATGCTATCGCTGGCTAGTGGAGGCGGGACGAAGAGAGATCCCCGCTGGAAGGCCTCACTACTCTGGCATTTGCGCAAGTCCTCTTTCACGGGCGGCTGCTTTAAGCGTTCCAAACTAATGGACTTATATAGACTGAGTGGCCTGGGAAGGCACTTGGACTTTTCCGATTTCTCCAACTTATCTGACCTTTCCTCCGTGGGGCTGTCCAGTTCCTTTGCGATCACAGCTATGCCCTCGGAGGCACTTGGTTCTGGGATGGTGGTGAAGATTTTCCGCTTGGTCTTCACAAACACATTGGCATTGGTGTTGTAAGCTCGATTGGGCTCCGGCAAGGGAGGAGGAATAAAGGCACCCAGTTTGGTGGGTGGAGTAATTGTGGACGACGGAGTGGTTGAAGTAAGAGGAGTGGTGGATGCCGACGAAGAGATAGAAGGAGCAGGTGCCACACACTGACTCTGCTCGATGAGTTCCCCCGGCTTGACCTTCAGCGAACCGTAGACGATATCCCCACCAGCAGTGGCCATCTCCTGTTCATTGGTCGTCGAACTCAACCGGAAGTCGTCGTCCAAGGAGCGCTGCTTCAGCCGGAAGTTCTTGCGGCGCAACCGACGCGGTGTTTCCATAACAGAGTGGGTGTCCGCATCGCTGCTATCGCTCTCCGTCTTGCTGTTCTGCCGGGAACCCATTTTGCGCAGGCGCAGCAGTTTCTTCTTGGCACAGGCATTTGCATTGGCTATTCCGTTGGTAACCCCATTGCCACTAGGATGGGCAACTACGGTGGGCAAGCTGGAGCGGCACAAAGTGCCCGTCGTGGTGCTGGTCTCCGTTTCGTGCTCCATGGGCGAGGCAGCACTGGCACTATTGTCGTCATGGGCCAGACGATCTCGGCTGGAATTGTCGCAGGTGGCATAGGCGGAACTGGAATCCAACTGTTGACCATCCTCGCTGGTGATGTTGATATCCGGCACAATGTCCCGGGGATAGCGATTCGTTCCGCCCTCTGAAATGTAATTAAAATTTATTAAGGGCTTAAATTAAATAGGTACAAGTATTTCTCACGTATGCTCAGCTTGAGACACTGCAGGGATTCATGCAGTCCTTGGAGCTCCTCCAGATATTCTAGTGTGCGCTCCTGCATCGTTTCCTGGCAGCAGGCCTCATCCAACGGCGATTTTAGACTCTGGAATAATTATTATTATTATTTTTTAGCATTTAAACTGTGAGTTCCCAGTAGTTATAAGCTATTTTATCTGCTTGGCTGCCTAAATAAATCCTACTGAAATTAATACTCAAATAATCCATAATGTCTTTCCTACACAATCAGATATAATTATGTAACAAAACTGTTATCTATTATCTAAACAAATACGGAAAAAGAAAATATGTAACATACTATATACATAAGTAAATCCTAGAGATTTACGGCCTTTTGCTGATATAGCTCCATAATTAAACCCTTTGTTCCTCATATACCGTAAATCCATATATTTATAAGAAATATATTTTGAATTTCTTACCAAGTCGGCCAGTCGTCCCAGTTCGCTCTGGACATCGGATATGGCGTTGAGCACGCCCGCCTTCATCAAGTTATTGGAGTAGTATGGATAAATGCCACGAATGCTCAGCAATGCGGCCTGGCAGTCCCGCATGGACGGGTGTTCCAGCAGATCGGGTGAGGCATTCTTCAGCTGGCCAAACAGCTCATCGGCACGTTTCAGTGCTCCCAGCAAAGGCGCCAGATTTGTGTGCGACTCGAAGCTCTGGACGCGACGCGAGTTGCTGAAGGGGATTGGAAATCATTAAAATCCGGAGGATCGGGTACGCCACATGCCACCTACACATAGTCGTTGCACTGCACCTCCTCGTACTTGTAAATGGGCGTCTGGTGCTCCACCAGCGAGTGGGCGGTGACCAGTGGCGAGGCGGTGTCGTGGATGTGCTCCTCCACCTCCACCATGACCGCCTCCGGTTCGTCGTACTTCTTGAACTCGTGATCGGTGAGGGCATCGGTACTGTCCTCGATCTCCTTCAGATCGTTGACGTCGTTCAGGGACAGGGATGAAGCCTGCTGGGAGATGGCCTGGGCCAGATTGCAGTTGGGCGATACGCTGTCCAGGGAAGGGACCTGCTGAGCGTGGGCGAGTGATCCGCTGCCACTACAAGGATGTTAAGGGTTACTATGGTCTTTTCTGGGGATCTACCATACCCACCTTTATTGCAATCCTTGTTAATCCGCCTCACATCTATGGGACAGTAGCCCGGATGCAGCAGGGCAAAGGTCGAGGCCTCTGGCCCAATGCCCCTGGCTTTCTCCCACTCGTACAGCTTCCTGGTGAACTTCCTCGAGATGCCCTCGAACTTCATCACCTCGCCATCCGAAGTCTTGACCTCGATCTTCTTGGTGTGATCCGGTACCACAATCGCCTTGAGGCGGGACAATCTGTCGGAAGACTTACAGGATTAGTTCCAGAAGGGAAGAATTTTGTTTTTATACAAACTTCTCTTTGTCGTGCGGCCTGTGCTTGTACCATCGATCATCATCCGATCCTCTTCTCGTGGACTGACTGTGTTTGGATCCACGTTTCAGGGAGTCATTGTCTGAGGTGGTGCCACCGCCAGGAGCACACTTTAAACGATTCCATTGCTCTGGAGGGAAAACATGTACATGTATTTCAGAGTTAACGGGTATCTTATGGCATATACCCACCCAACTTCTTCTGGAACTTCTCGGGCAAATCCTTCTGATCGGGCAAGGCACACAGACCCTGGCCCTCCAGTTTCAGCTGACCCATGCTCCACAGGTTCCAGTCGATCTTGGGCTTGACCTCGCCACTTTGGCTCTTGGCCGTAGGACTGGCCGCGGGCTCCAAGGAGGTGTACGATCCTCCCGAGCAATTCTGCTGCTTCACCCGCCACTTGTGCAGCTTCTTCTTGAACTGCGGCGTAAGATTCTGCTCCAGCTGGGCGGTGGACATGAGTTCGTTATGCAGCAGTTGGGTGGGCGAATGCTCCTCGCTGCTCCTCTTTCCACTGCCAGTTCCTCCTCCAGTTGCTGCTCCGCTGCCCAGTTTGATACCTAGGAAGGTGGGTTATACAGAGATTAGCACTTTCTTGGATTTGGTTTATGAGGTTTTAGGGGATCCCTACTGCGATTGCTGGCGCTGGAACGCTCTAACTCGCGTTGCTTGTGCTTAAACTCCGAATCTAGTTTGAGTACGAGAAGTTGATAATGTTGAAATACCTCGTCATCTTCGTTCTGTGGGAAATTCTTACAGTTTGGCGTAGTGGGCTCCGAGAAATCGCCACTGGACAGATCCTCGCTCTCTGCAAGAAGCCTTAAAGTTAAGGAAGGTTCTATGATTAGAGGGATTAAGGGGTAACACCACAGTGGATTGTTTCATATTGTTCCATATTTTGGTCAGTAGTGTTACCCTTGAATCCTTCCCCTTGCTCACCCACCAAATTCACCAAAGAAATCCGAATGCCTGGAAGGACTGCTGGGCACGGAGGAGGTTCCCGGCGAGTGGACACGACGCATGCGCGAATCCTTTGGACTCTTCAGGGGAGAGTGCAGTTGTGGCAGATCACTGTACATCTGATTAACCTGGTTGAGATTCAGTGGACTCGGTGGCAACTTCTGGCGCCTGCTGCTGGTGGCCTTAATCTCCGCTACATGATCCTCGGGAAGGACCTCAAAGTCGGAAAAGGCCTTGGATCTTCGCAGTGATTTGCTGGAAGAGGACTTTGCTGCTAATGGAGGGGCGGAGGATTTTATGTTGTCCAGACGCTCATCCGTGGCGGATTTTCGCAGCTCCACCTCAAAGTTGGAGGTGCGGGAATCGCAGCGAGTATCACTCTTGGAGGAATCGCGACCTGAGAAGTTAAGGAAACTAGTTAATCACACTGTAAACCAATTAGTTGTAAGGTATTTACGATAACTCTGTCGGCTGGCCGCCTCCAGATCATCCATGGAGCTGGCCGAACTGATGGTTCCAGGTGTCCCCCCGTATCACTCATTATATGGCCGGAGGAGGAACTGATGATGCTGTCCGCGGAACTGCTTCCAGCCGCCGTACTAATGGGCACCTTGAGGTATCTGAAAAATAGATATATAATGAAATGATGTTCAAAGAAGTCTAAATTCTTTACAAACCTCTCCACCTCGTGGTTGAGGGCATTAGAACATTGGTTTCCGGAGCTCCTGGACCCGAAGGTGGCACATTGGCCCGCTCCCACTTAAAGGCCGCTTTCACCTTGGTCCACTTGGAAACCTTTGCCTTGTTGTCGCTGTAGGTGCTCTGCCGTCTCAAGAGATACGGTTTCGAAGCGCTGAGCTTCAAGCCGGGACGATCGCCCTTCATGAACATATTGAGGTCCTCGTCCATCATGGACTTGCTACGCTCGCGAATACTGTGGAATAGTAAGAATCATATTAAGTAAATAAAAAAAACTTATCGACGTTGTTGGTTCATATAAGTATTATCCTCTAGGAGAAAACAGAAGAATAGATTTCTTAGGAAACCATATGAAAAGAACCAAACGATCTTTGCCTTATCAGTAAACGTTGTTTTTATTTCCTTAACTTGGGAATTTACGTGTTTTCCAATCAGACTTAAGCAATAGGGAATGCAAAACTCACATAAAGACCGGAAATCAGATTATAGAATACAAAAATGTTAGTGCACGTCATCATGTGAGTCATTTTTTAACATCTGATTGTTATTGGTACTGATTGGTTCAAATTTGAACCTCAATACAATTAAGATATTAATAAACAATTAATTTGTAACTAGTTAAGGATTAAGGGAAAACTGATGCTTAGGAAATGGAATTATGCATTTTATAAACCTTACTTTCTTTAAATATATATTCCGATAATGCTTACCGCTTAAACTTTCCCTGTTTGAAGGGCGGAGTCACCTCAGTGCCCATCAGGGACTCCAGCCAGGTGAGCGAGTGCTCCAGCTCGAACTGGTGGTCATGTTGCTGGAGCGTGGTGGCTTAGTGGGTGGACGCTGCCGGATAGCTTGGCTAGTGGAGGGCACATCATCGTCCAACGCGGCCAGTTCCGCCTCCCGTTCGCCCGCCTCGTTGTCGGCGATGGTGGCCAGTCGGTGCTCCAGGAACCCTCCAGCAGGTGGTATGTGCGGGTCAGTTCGTCCATGGCTTCGATGGCGGAATTGAGGCGCGTCTTCAGCGGTTCAATGGTGCCCCGATCCGCTCTATAGGGCTGGCACTTGGAGCAGGAGTGCTTGCCCAGTTCGCAAACGGGCAGATCCTTGGCCTCCCGCCGCTCGAACTTGGGGGAGGCGGAGAGATTGCGGGCCGAGAGGCCACGGCCGGAAACTGGAAGATGTTTCCTCCGTGCGGCCACACATCGCCGGCGGAGCGGTGGGCAGGGATTCGTAGTGCAGGACATTCTGCCGGGATCGGGTTCGTCGGGGTTTCGGTGGTGGTTGCGGAGGTGGCGGCGGCTTGTCCCAGTCCATCTCGATATCGCTAAATCGGGCCTTGTTTGTTTACTCTGCCCGATACGCCACTAAAAACGCACACAAGACAAAAAATCCGAGAATTATCAAAATCGGGAGATTGTTTATAGAAGAGGAAGACCAATGTGGAACGTCCGCCGCCGATCGGCAAACGGCAATCGCCAAACGCCAAACACACACATGAACGAGTCTTAAAGTGTAACGATTAAATCCACGAAATGTAAACAATAATTTCAAAAATCCCATTTCAGCACGTTTCCCCACATGTGCGAAAGTTTTGAATATTTTCGAAAAATATGCACGCGTGTGGTCACTTAACCGCAACGGAGAACCGATCCGGAATGCACTGTTATTGTGTTTTGGATCTTTGGTCTTGGGTTATGGCTACGGTTTTGGCTCAGGAACTGGATGCCATCGATCGTCGAGAGGCCCGCAAGAAGAACAAATAAAATCGCGCCGCAAACCAAACTATTTTTAAAACGCTGACACTCTTTTGTTTGCCTCCCCATGGCGATCGCACTATAGCACACAACACACACCCAGTATTCCTCCTCCTCCTCCTGAGATCCCCCTTTCGGATCGCAAAGTGCGCAACACTTCCTTTATTCCACTTTTAGGTTACACGCAATTAATATTTCCAATTTATGCGAAAGTGCACGCACTCGTGGAGAAATGTACATACTGGACGGATGGATGGGTGGACGTGGACCGGCGGACTGGAGGACTGGAGGACTGGAGGACCAGTGGGTGTATGGGTAAATGGGTGATTGGGCGAATGGACGGTTGGGTGGTGCTGCGAGCAGATCATGTGTATCTGAAGTCGGCGGCCCCCATTACTTTCGCCACTTTCCGAACGTTATATCGAAACTGTTGCCACACATTGAATACACACATTTTTCTTTTCTCCACTCGACTTTTCTTCCTGGCTGCGTTTCTTTTGTTTTATGGGTTTACGCGCAAGGTTGTCGGGCTATTTCGGGGTGTTCGCCAGTGTTTTGTTGAAAGGAAAAACAATAACAAATTATTACTTGCACTTTTCCTATGCACACTCGATCGTCCGCCCCGCCGCGGAATTTTCTTCGGTCACTCTCTCTCAGGTTCTCGCGATTTTCCGTGATTCTAAAATTCCGTATACGTCCGTTCCGCTCGTCGGTCGAAGCTATTCTGAGCGGCACGGCGCTTTTGAACACATCGGAAAAGTCGAAAAATGTGAGATTTATTTTTAGAGAGCATTGTACGGATCTCTTGGTTTTATAATTTCTCTTAAAGTTTGGTTGGTTTGGAATTTTATTGATTTAGATCTTGGAATTTTGACATTGATAACAATTATTATCAGAAAAGAATTTTTTTAGAAAACAAAAGGCAGAGTATCGAAAGTAACAAAAAGTATAACCATCTTGATTACTTCGTTACTCTTTCAGACCAAAGTTTTTAAACCGTTTTTTCAGGGATATGACAATATACATTGTCTTATATACATTCGATATAATTATTTTATCTACTAATTTGTGATATTGTTGACAGAACTGTTCAAGATATGGATTTATTTATTGTAACGGTCATTTAAACATATAAAGTCCGTTACAGCATATCCTTCCGTTTTTTAAATTATTGAGATAGCGGTACATTTCTATCAAAGTTCATACCACGGTTCGTGAACACACTTGTTTTCCCCACCAAAGCAATGTGGCAACTAAACTTTCCTCACAAAAGCTGGCAACTCTGGCCGGCGAGGTTATGCAAAGCAAGAGTTTGGATCCCGGTAAATAGTCTTATTTTTGAAAGAAATGCAGTCCATCCTGACCTCCATGAGGGCACTGGCCCTGCGCCAACCCACGATGGAGTCCCTCCGTCTGCTGCACCTGTCTGCCGTCAGCGAGGCGGCCCGCAAAGGAACTCGGGAGAAGGCCCGCAAGAAGAAAGTCAAAGTCGAGGTGAAGAAGGTGGGATTCATTCCTCACAATCAGCGGAACAAGAAGTAGGTGCTTAAATCTATGAACGGAATCCTGAATTAACCCCATACCATTTGTAGAATCAACGTTAAGCGGGCGGACAAGCATGTGGACGACTCCTGGAAACAGGTGCCCAAAGACGACTGCTATGTGGGGCGCTACTACCGCTGGCCGGTTTACACCGTGCAGGAGGCCATCCAATGCCACCGGGAGACCCATCACCCCAGCATGTACAATGTACCCAATGCTCCCCTCAACGTGGACATCGAACTAAACATGCAGGCAGAGAAGATCACCCGGTTTGTGGACAACTTCCAGCGCATGGCCATGATTCCGCACAAGTTTGAGCATGGCGAGGAGCGCAAAATTATAGTTTTCACCAAGGGAAATGTGGGTGGAGCTCCTTACTTATAAATCCTTCAGTAACATCTTAAAACTCCTTCCAGAACGAAGTCCTGGAGGCCAGAGAAGCTGGAGCCTCGCTCGTGGCGGCGTGGAGCTCATCAAGGACATAACCAACGGTGAGCTGCTGCTCTCCGACTACCAGTACGTCATTGCCCATCCCAATATCCTGGCCGAGCTGGTGGCCCTGCGTGGCCTGATGAAGCGCAAGTTTCCCAATCCCAAGAGCGAGACACTCGGCACCAATCTGGCCGAAATGATTGTCAAGTTCTCCAGCGGCATTAGCTACAGCGCTGCCAAGGATGAGTACCAGCAGAACTTTGGCCTGATCACTGCCAGTGTGGGCACTTTGGACATGGACGCCCAGAAGCTCGAGGAGAACCTCAAGTTCCTGCTGCAGGATGTCAACACCATGAGGCCCAAGCGCGAGGGTCGCTTCATTACCCGTGTCCTGCTGAAGAGCCCGCCCAGCAGTGAGCAGCTGAAAATGATCCCTATGTCTATGTGCCAGAGATGTGGGACAAGAGCACAGCGAAGGTGAAACGGGAGGAGACCAAAAGCAGGAGGAGCCAGCGGAACGCAATGAAGCCGTGGCCTCCAATTAGTTAACACAGAAGCCATGTATTTTTGTTGATGGATCGTTTGTGCATACTTTAAACTTACATCTTCCTAGAGTCCTAAACAGTCTACATTACTTTGGCAGCGTTATATTGCTCCTAAGCCTTTTGGGTGGCGGTGCTGCGTTGCTGGTGCTGGCGCAGCATCTCCAATTGCTTGACACGGGTGTAGGCGGCGCTGGCCACCAGGACCACCACATTGGAGGTCCACCAGAGAGCCGATCGAACGTCATGGTAATACTGGGTGGCAATCACCGTTTGGGCGCAGGCCTTTGCTGTACCCGAGATATTGTGCGTCAGTGCGGATGTGACCTGGAATATCGATCGAGTTAGATAAGCATTTAACACGTGGATTGACTGGCTGATTACCTTGATTTCCAGCGCTGTGACAAACCCTATGGCAAAGCCACAAATTCCACTCAGTGTCATGGCGGCCCAGAACCAAGGAGCCCACAGGTTTGGATACGTTATGATGGTCTCCAGCTCGCCATTGATGATGATAGAGGAAGGAAGAGCAACGTGGAGTACAGATTGTTGTAGTAGCTGAGCAGCCACACCTCCTGGTTGACATAGCCCAGCGACTTCTTCGTCTGAATGGAGAACATGGCCAAGGCCAGCGAGCTGAGCACTCCGAAGATGGTGCCCCGCCAGGAGAAGACCTCCGTGAGGCTCTCTTGGTCCACGCCCAGCCAGAACCCTATGACGATAGCGGCGCAACACAGCAGACACTTGAAGCTGGTCCGCTGGCGGAGAATCACATATGTGAGGACCACACTAAACACCGTGGTCAGGGAGCGACCGATGTAGTAGAAAGCCACTGTGACATAGGACAGCGACAGGTTGTTGGCTCCGATCATCAGGGTATAGAGCACGGATAGTGGCAGGATCTTGCGGAAAGTGTCGATGTCCAGGGGATTGCCCTCGGGAAAAGAGAAAACCGACGGGTACTTCCTGCTCAGACGGCTGGCCACAAAGCAAATCACCGTGGAGACCACACACTGGAACCAGGACATAAAGAGGGGAGCACCCAGGTTCACTGTATCGCTGCTCAGCAGGTGTTTGTTCACAAAGACCGTCAGTATCGAGGTGCACCTGTGGAAGACATGCAATTTCAGATGGGCCGCAAAACAAAGCTCCTCTTCATTACTCACCAGTAAAGTGCCACCACGAAGAATATCTTAAGGTATTTGTTCACCAGCCGGTTGTGCTCCTCCAGATTCTTGTACATTTTGGAGTTTTGGGCACTGGGTTCCGATTTGTGCGAGGGAAAAATAATTGTGCGTTATTTTTACACGTATCTGCAACCCGGTCTGGCGATCAGCTGTTCCAATGAGAACTTTTCTGTTGAGTGCGAGGGTGGTTTGAATGTTATCAACCGAAAGTGGAAAACGGATTCAGTGTAAAGTATAAAATACAGTTTGATAGTCCTGGTTTTACCAATATGCAATCGTTCCATTAATTTTTTATACAAAAACGACCTCTAAGTAAACAAATAAACAGTAAATAAAAAACTGAGAAACAGAGTCAATAATGATTCTTTAAAAGCGGAAGCGTGGTCCCAATTTTAGATTCACTTACTTAGAGTACGGTTCGAAAAAGTGTATATGTATGCCTTATGTAGTGATTCATCACTAGAACATGGCTGATCAAGATGTATGCCATATGTGCTTCTCCATGTACATTGTACATATATTACATATAACAATCGTATAATACTTATATTTTAATCTCAAACATAACTTATTAATTGCATGGTAATCCCCAAAAAGAAGACCCCACCGACAAGTGTAATGCTTAAATCAAATTTATTCAAAACAGTTCGTTTTAGTTTCTGCTTGTAACGTTTTTCTTGGTCGTCGGCCGATCCATGCGTAAAAATATATATATTTAGTGTTTCTCTTGAATCTCTCTCTCTGACTTATAAATACAGGGGATATGGGTATGCCGCCCTACTTCTCCCACTCGCGGAACTCGGTTCCATCTGGTGGCTTCACTGTGACCTTCTCCTTGCCCACCTCGTTCCAGTTGGTGCTGAGAACGGTGCCGCCGGATTCTGAGAAGGACTTGTTCATGGCCTTTTGCACCTCGGGCGACGATGTGCTGTAGATCTTCTTGAACAGGTTGTTGAGGGCCGCCTCGCCCTTGGCCTCCTTCTCGTCGATCTTCTCCTCCTCGCTGACCAGCTGATCCCAGTTCTTGGCCTTGGGCTTTGGAGGAGCAGCCGGACCACGGCCTTCTCCTCCAGGTTATCCCAGCGAATGCCCGTCTCCTTGGCCAGGTGATCTCCACTTGGTGGAAAAGGCCTTGTGCAGGACCGCTCCACAACGATGGGGTGCAGCAGCTTCAGGTCCAACTCGTAGCCATCCGCCGTCATGTGGACGCGGTTCGGGGAAATCTCCACCGCATAGTTCTTTTCGGCGGCGTTCTTCAGGAGCACGGTGATGACCACCTTTGTCTCGGATTGGTACCAGTCGTGGCGCACGGACATCTTGCTGAATCTGTTGCAAAGTACTGCGGCTTGATTGGGGAGACCCCTTTTTTTTATTTTGCCCACTGAACGCAGATTGTATATTATATGGAATTATCCAGAATTATCGGACATATGACAACTAAACAGATTCGATATAACATTAGTGATGTTAAAAACATCGATGCAACCAAGTTTTAACCATCGATTAGTTTCCATGCTCAGTTTGGTTCCGAACCTAGATAAAACTGTAGCAAATACTTAGACCCCTGTGGAATTGCTAATTTCGTTATAATTTTTCAACACTGCCAGCAATTTAAAAAAGCCCGCGTATTTAAATCTTACTTAATTCATATTTGTTTTTGGAACATTTAAACTCCACACACATATCAAAACCAATCTGTCCAAATATAAGCTAAAAAGCCCACAAAACCGTAAGTTGTGTGTTTACTTACAAAAAGAGAATCACTATTTACAAGAAACATATACTATTTGAAAACAAAATTGCCAACCGCAGCCAACTGAAAACAAAGTTTTGGCCAATTTACGTGCACTTAAAGTTTTGGCCATCAATACGTTGGTTTTGGAAGAACGGCAGTCGAAAGCGCATAAGACCCGACGACAGCCGACATAAATTCAATGTTGCTCCCCTTTCATTCCCCCAGGCTTCTCAAAATCTTTGCGTTTCCAAAGTTTGTCCAAAGTGACAGCAGAAGTGAAAAGTCTGAGAGCTGATGCCGAATAAGTTGACTGGAAAGCGTTTTCCCTTTTTATATTAAGAATCGCAGTCAACATTTTTTTATGTTTGCGTTCCCTATCAATTTGCCATTATCTGTGCAGAATTAAAGAACAATAAAAGTATGGGTAGAGCAAAAAATTAAGATACATGCGAGTTGATTTTTTTTTTCTATATAAAATAAAAACAGATTATTTTCTTATGTTTTGTATAAGAATTTGTTAATTAACATTCAAAGAATAAATAAAAATTGGGTTCCATTGCACGGTTAATAACTTATTTAAGCGGGCCATCATTCAATAGTTAATAATCACTTTTGCTGCACTTTCATATTGTTCATATTATTGCGAATGTATAGGCAGTTTGCTCTGCAAAACGAAGGCGCATGTAGCAGGATGCTGATTCAGCGCAGCTGTAAAATCCACATTTGGCTGCAAACTTTCTCCTCCCTGTTAGTAAAATTTAGTTTCTCGCATGCGATAAGCGTAAGAAAATGTAAAAAAAATGTAAATGTAAAATTTGTTTACATTTGCGACATGTTGCGTGTTTCTCGCATGCGATAAATGCGGAAATGAAATGGAAATGGAACACTTTATGAAGAAAACAAACTATATTTTTGGTACAAAATTCTTTTATTTATTTTTCTATTTTATCTACTTTTTTTAGGTAGTTAAAAATTAAATTTTTTTTAATTAAATTTTTTAGACCAGACACTTAAAATGGAGGCGACGTAGATAAATATTTTGGAATACCTTTTTTATATTTGTTTTTTTTGGGTCTACAACCTCTGATATTTTCTCCTTATATTTACTAATCTGGAGGCATACATGCTCCCAATTATCCTCCGTGATTTTGCAAATAATTTAAAAATTTAATAACTAACTAAATTCTTTATTTCAAATCTATTACTTTCTTGTAAGTTTTCGATTATTTGATTATTGATTGATTTTTATTTGTTACATCACAAAATATGAATTATTTCTGATTTTTATTTTAAAAAATGAAAAAAGTTTAAGAATAATTTTGGATCGTTATTTAAAAAGATATTTTTAAAGACTTATTTGTGATTTTTTCAAAGAAGTCAAGAATAACATTTTTTTTTTTAATTTATTCAAAGGTGCCAAAAACACAAAATATTTGTGACTTTGTTTTTTTTTTAATCACAGCACTGAACTTTGTGTACACCTTCGCTATTCAGTTCAAAATTGGGCTGGATCCATGCTAGAATTTGCTAGATAAGAAAAAGAATATAGACCTATTGTTTGAATGGTCCGTTTATATGTAGGTGAAAACATCTCTATTTAGTTACTAGAAACTATAGTTGGCTGTTTATACCGCACTTGACCAAAGTTGCACTTTAAGCCCATTAATAGCAGTTAACTGAGATTCATTATTGAAGCAAGTATCCAATTTCGACCCTTCCCTCCCTATTCCTTCACCACCCACCAACCAAGCGGAACTGGCAGTTCAAAACGAAATTTATCGAAAACTTTTAGTAAAGCAAATATTGGCGTGGCTTCGAGTAGGTGAGTGGGTGTGGTGGGCGGAGAATTCGGTGTGCACTTGGCGGCAAATGTGCGGCGGGCATACAAATAGCTTTAGACGCTGCACTTGGCACGCGGAAGGGATATACAACCTATGGGTGACGCATAATCACATAAGAAACCCCCATGCTATTCGTCCTGTTTGTTTGTCACTTGCATTGCAGACAGTTCAAGGGTGAAAAAATAGCAGCCACCCCAAAAACTTTTCCTCTCAAGTTCTCGCGGCTAATGGAGCCAATTCATACACACCAGCTTGGGAAAACACGCCAGTCACAGGCAATCCCTTCCACGGATTAAGCCCGCCGCAGAGTGCGACCACTGATTAATAGCTTAAAATGTAGGAAGCCATAACCGTTGCCCTTTATTAGGTCAGCGTATCCGCCAGTGTCGTTATTTGCATGATAAAAGTGAAGTGGTTGCCACGGCAAAGGCAACCTTTCACCTCCCGCTTGATGCAGTATTAAGCAGCAGACAGAAGGTTATAGCCCGTGGCTACTGGTCCGTCCTGTGATGCCATAAAAGCGTGCCGAAGAAGATAAAACTCAAATTGCAACAACCAACACGTCCAGAGGCGAAGCCCTGCAATTGATAATCCAGTTGGCTGGCCAGCGACGTGACCTAGTCAACTTTGAAGTCGATCATTTGGAGCAGAGTAGGGCGATAAAGTTACACTCCACTATAATTGGAAAGCAATCGTGTGTTTTTTACTAGCAAAAGTATGCCTTAAGCTAAGGTTTATTCCGGAAAGCCGTATATCTTAACATTGCCAGCGTCCCGTCGCCTGTCGCTGTCCTTCTCATCGCAGGCGTAGGCCAAGAGGTATTGCTTGGGATGCCAGGCCACCGTGAAAGTGGAGGCATCCACATGGATGTCGGTCACACGTTCTCCCGTCTCGGTGAAGGCAATGTCTATGATCAGATCCTCGCTGGCGGAGGCTATCAGCCGCTCGTCGTGGCTGAAGGATATGGTGCGAACGGGCCACTCCAGGCGGCTGATCATGCGCAGGCAGGCCAGTTCGTTGGCATCCCACAGAGAGACTTGGGCGTCTGCCGAGCCAGTGGCAAAGTATTTACCTGGGAAATGTATCAAATGTTAAAAGATTCCGTGATAACTTGAGATATAAGTGAGACTTCCATACCCGTTGGTCCGAACTCTATGCAAATGCAGTTGGCGGGATGCGCCTTTAGAGTCATCTGGTGCTCCAGGCTGGGGTAATTTAGAACATGCATGCATCCAAGTCCGTTGGTTAGGAAGAACAGATCATTGGTGTTGTTCCACGATATTTCGTTGACCTCAAAGCTGAAGGGCTCCTCCACCCTGATCTTATTTGTGCGCGTGTCTATAAAGGTGATCAAATCTTCCTTGTTGCCCACGGCGATTGTCTTGCCATCCGGCGACCAGGCTATGTTGATATTCTCTCCCTTGGTGTTGGTCACCGAAACACACTTTCCGGCGCGTATGTCCCAAATCCTCACGGTTTTGTCCCCGCTGGCGGTGGCAAACTGGTCGGGATTGGTGCGATGCCAACACAGCTGGTCCACGGATGCAGTGTGTCCCCGGTAAATGCTGCCCTTGACGAAACGATCCCGCTCCAAGGAGTAGACCGCCACCGTCTTGTCGAAGGATCCGGACGCCAGGTGACGACCATCTGCGTTCCAGCAAACCGAGTGCACCTGTGGAATGGTGGATTTCGGAATTCAGAGAGGAGTCCCAGGATTGGCGGGAAACAGTGCTCACCTTGGACATGTGCGCCCGCTGCTCACGGATTTTGCTGTGGCCCCGGAAGTAAGACTTTAGGTCGTCGAAAGTTTGCTCCGTGCGACTCATAGTTATTAGTTATTTTATTATTTTATAAAATTTGAACCCGGCTTTTTTTTTGTAAACAAAAGAGTGACCGCAGGCTACTTACGAAAATATACTCTAAAAAAGATGCCAATAATAAAGGTCAAAATCTGAGTTAGCCAAGATCCGCACCACTATAACGGTTTCTGTCTATGCAATGGCGGTGTATTTAAATATATCGTTTGTCCAAGTTTCTCATACTTAAATAACATTTTTAAATACGTAAATAAGATTTTCAAGATTAATCGTTGTATCTGTTGTCTACCTGGTAATAGACAAAAATGCTTACAAAGTATTTAACATGAAAAATATGTTATATATGTCACAGTCAATAGAAAACTTTAAACGAGTTTCTGGAAACTACCTCTACCATTAATTACGCTACTGTTGGCACTCAAAATATTGAATTACAAAGAGAGAGCGTTCAGTATCAACAAAACTTTATTGAATCGCTGCAACAACATAATCATTAAATAAGGAAAACAAATAAATAAGGATAAAAAGCGTGGATCGAGGCAGTGTCTCATTGATGTCGGTGATTCCGCGGTGGATCCCTCACATTCCGATCACTCTTGTCGTGGATGTGAACCGTCTCGCCCAGCTCCACGTTGGCGTGCAGAGCGGCATCATTGGCATTAAGGTGGGCCTCCTGGGCGGACAAGGTGGCCTTCTCCGCCGCATCACGGGTTTCCTCGTAGTCCAAACGAGCTGAATAAGCCTGCGACTCTGCGTGTTCCAGCTTGGTCTTGGCTTGGGCCACCATATCGATTTGGGAGGCCAATTCGGCCGCAGCCTCGGATGCTGCCTTCTGAGCCAACTCGGAGGCCGACTGGGCATTGTTAAGAGCCGCAGTCAGGACACTCACATGGTTGATGGCCTGCTGCGCGGCATATTGGGCTGCCTTTGCGGATCTCTTGGCCTGTTGCAGCTGGGTCAACTCGTTCTCCATCGCCTTGTGGGCCTCCACGCTTTGATCCTCCAATCGATGGAGCAGTACCTCCTTGCCCTTCAGCACGGCCACCGCAGTTCCGGCTGCCTGGGCTGCTGCTTGCGCAAGAGTGCTTTTTGCCACATAGGAAGCCTGCTTGCCAGCTGCATTTTGACTGGCCACTGCGGATAAGGCCTGATCGGCGGATCCCTTAGCGATGCTGCGAAGTCCATTGTCTGCCAGATAACCACCTCCTCCTCCTCCTCCGCCATGCAGAGTGTGCACTATGTAATCGGAGGAGCCTTCGAAGTGGGAAAGCTTCACCTTGGCCGGCTCGAACTCATCGTGGTTAATGGCCTCGTAGGTGTAAGGTGGCACCTCGTGCTCGATCACCGCCGTTTGCTGAGGCACTGGACCTGGTCCTTGGTGGGATGGAGGCGGAGGCGGTGGTGGCACATTGACGTGGTGGTGATAGTGCGCCTCCTTCCGCTTCACCTTGCGACCCAGCGCCGGCATGGCCACTAAATAACAGAGGGAAAACCCCCAATTAAGACAGATTTGCATGAGGAAGTCGTGTGCGGTAAGACTCACCCAAAAACAGCGTCAGGAGCAGCAGGTGCAACAGCGATGGCATCTCTTCCCTGGCGATTATGCAATGGAGCAGTTGGGGAAAGGAAGCCGCGCAACCGGAAGACTCGTGATCGCCGCAGGTGGAAGGCTATGTGTTCCTGTGTCACACTAAGAGTGTCCCTTTGTGTTAAAATGTCTGAAAGCAAACGATATCAACTAAAATTAAATACACTCAGAAAGAAAGCGTTCTTAAAATAGTTCTTCAACTTTTTAAATAAGACCACTTTTATCTCTATTTCAAAATCGAAAATTAAAGTTGAGAGTAGTTCTGTCTTGATGTCAAGAACGTTTCTTCTCTAACAAGTGAGAGAGAGTCTTATTTAAGGCTCACATTTTTTTGGTAACTCTGAATATGAATTTTGGATTCGAAAATAAAGGGTTTTGTAATAGCGCCTTGATTTAAAATGCTTAATCACTTCAAACCACCAGAGGTCTATTCCTAGTAGGGTATCACATTATTTCTAAAATATACATTTTTTAAACTAACGCTAAGCTTTCACTTTATCTTATAAAACCTAAAAGTTTTCTAAGGAATCAAAATATATCCTATATTTCCACAAAATATTTTCCCACCTAAAGGAGACTTTTTTGAGTGCATGATCATAATCACTTGGCAACCGGTTGCGTTACTGCTTTGCCTATTAGCTAACAAACAAATGGCGGTGCACTTTCTTTGCTCTAGGATGACCGGCAAGTCGTTAGTGTGTCACGACATGATATGTTCCACAGGAGAACCTGTTTAGTTTTAAGGCCAGCAAAACTGGACAGCACACAAATCACCCGGTTATCACTCAGTTATGATGGGTGGACGTCTCCAACGCACCTCTCGATGATTCCGACGATTTGGATAACCGACACGAACGTCCTGTGTGGGCCAAAGACAAAATGCTTCTGATTCAAATGGAGGATCGCCCGCCAAACGAAGTCAATGTGGATGGACGGGTTCGTTGGTTCGGTGGAAAACGCTTTTACTTTCGCACTCGGAAAAGCTGGGAGCGGCGAATGTGTTTAGTAAATCCGGTGGAGACTCGACGACGATTGCCAGTTGGCCACCGGAGGCGCCATGTATTTATAAACAAACTGGTCGGGTCGCCTGGCCGAAGAAAGTGCAAACCCGTTGGATGTTGGCTGATGGTTTTCTTTGCGAGTTGGCCATGCACCAAACATTGTGTTAACAATAATTGTGCTGGGTCAATGCTACCAGGCTGGCCGATTGGATAATTTGCAGCGGCAATTATGGAAGAGCCTCTAATTGTCATGCGACGCTTTAAATGCCCGCTCCGGGTGAGATTGCATATGAGTAAAGACGTCAGGTGTCCGATGATTGTTTGCTTCCTCGCGAATCCGCGTGTGAACATGGAGGAGTTGTCGGAAGTTTAGCGGGGTGTTTTGAGCATACGCCCCACATAATGTTATACATATCCCTTCGTATACATATGTTTTATAATCGTGACATAACATCCTTCTGTTATACTTGAAAAATAAAAGTAAAATAGAAAATATAAACATTAATGATCCAAGTGGTTGTGTCCCCTCTTGAGGCGCAGTCGGTGCCTCAATTCTGCCCTGCGGCGCTCCCGCGTGGCCCTTTGCCTGGCCTCCTGAGCGGCACAGGCTGCCTTCTCTGCGGCATTCTTAGTGTTCTTGAAATCCGCCCTAGCCACCTCCAGTTGACGGAGTAGCAGCTCCACCCGCTTCTTCGCCGCGTCCACAAGCTGCTGCTTCTCACCCAGCTCCTGTTGGGCTCCACTGGCCACGTGCTCTGCATTGACCACGTTGTCCTGGGCATTCTTCACCGCCTGTGTGATGGTCTTCAGTTGCTCCGCCGCCTGTTTGGAAGCCTGTCCCGCGGCGGCACAGGTGGTCTGGGTGGTCTGCAATAGAGTGCTCTCCTCCTGCACCACCAGTTCTCCCTCCTTCACCTCGGACTCTAGTTGCTCCACGATCTGTTGCTTCCCGGCCAGAGCTGCTTCTGCCGCCTTGGCAGCGGCAAGTGCCTTGTCGGCCAATTGCTGTTTCACCTGACGAGCTGCCGCCTCGCCTGCCTCCATCTGGGCATCGGATGCGTCCTTGGCCTCCTTGGCCGCTTTCTGGGCAATGCTGGAGGCTTTTATCTTCGTCTTGCCGTCCATCTTGATGCCGCACTTGGCACCTTCCGAGGATGACGAAGGACAATTGTCTCCGCCGCCCTGATGATCCGAGATCAGGCCCACCATCTCATTGGAGGACTGAAATATACAAGAAGTTTCGATTAACAATTTAATTGGATGGTTTCATAATACCTGCGCCATCTTATAGCCTTTTGAAAGGCCCGCGAGTAAAAGGACAATTAGGATAACCGTAGGTTTCAATTCCATGTTCAGCTTCGGAAAAGTGATATATGCTTCAATAGGGAGGGATTTCGGAAACTGCTATTGATAAATATATTTTCAAATAAGACTGTCAATGAAATGCCAACTGTAGTTAGGGGCCGTCCATATACTACGTGGACAAATTTTAAGCACTTTTTGAAGCACTTTTGGGAAGAGGAAACCGAATACTGGAACACATGTCGTATAAGGGATATTTAAATCAAATAATGCTTATATCAGTAGATTCAAAAGTTCTAAAAATAACTTTTAAATTTACCATTTTGTGCTTTTTAAGCATATGGAAATATAAGTCATGTTAAATCACAATATTGAATTCTTCGTCTGTCACATCAACATCACAAAAATATCTACATTTCGTTTTCCTTATGAGCCTTGAGATTTATGTAAGATGCGAGATTTCCGATGCGTTACGAGTCCCTGGTTACGATGCTGCTTCTGGTGAACATCCTGCTGATGAGCACTGCGGAATCTGCCCACCGGAACGATCCGCGCTTCAAGCCGGCTGCCGGCTTCTGCAAGACGAACGTGAAGGCCAGCCAGATGGCCTCGAAGGCGGCCAAGGATGCCAAGGACGCCAAGGATGCACAGCCAAGTGCCGCGGAGGTGGCGGGTCAGAGAGCTAAGGCCATGCTGGCGGATCGGGCACTGCAAGCTGCCAAGGCAGCGGAGGCGGCTCTCAACGGTAAGAAGCAGCTCCTGGACGAGTTCACCAAGAGTCTGGCCGAAACGAAACGGGTCATCGAGGAAATCCAGCGAGCCATTGCCGCCAGCTCTTGCTCCGCCAAGGCGGCAAATGAAATCCGTGAGAAACTTCAGAGAACCCTGGCCAACATGCAGAATCTGCTGCAGGAGATGGGAACCAGTCTGGAAAACATCCGTCGAGTGGCCCTCAGCGCCCAAAAGGAGGCCGCCGAGAAACGCAGTCTCCTCGAAGCGGCCAAGCGGCGGGTGGAGGAGCTTCACAACTGCCTGGCCCAGGCCCAGACGGATCTGGAGCAGAATCGGGAGAGCGCCAAGAAGGCCAGCGACGCCGCCACCGAGGCTCAACAGCGGGTCGAGGCAGTGCGTCAGTTGGTGTCCAAGATCAAGATGCTGAGGCGAAAGGATCTTCAATCGCTAAATAGCTTCCTGCGCAGGAGGAGGAGAAGAAGCAGCCCGGCGAAAACACAGTTGAGTTGATTGTTCCGTTTTGGCAATAAACATGTTTATATTTTGTTATAGAACACTCAAAAACCAATTAGATTTTGTAGAACATTAAAGGACTTTGGCGCCATTAAAATCAGGGCTGCAAGCCAAAAAATCGATAGTATCGATATTTTAGGTGAAGGGATATGTTTAGTATTTTTGAATAAATAAAAAGGTATAAAAAGTATATGTCTCTACGGTCACACTCAAGCCAACCGCATTTTTTTCTGTGAAAGTTGGAAAATTAGCCGAAAAGATTGTAAATATTTATTAAACTGCTTTAACCCGCACATAAATAAGCAGTGAAAATGGCGCGCAAGAATGCCCAGGCGGAGGATCTCTCGAACGTGGAGTTCGAGACGAGCGAGGACGTGGAGGTGATTCCCACCTTCAACGCCATGAACCTGAAGGAGGAGCTGCTACGCGGCATTTACGCGTACGGTGAGTGGTGGTGTGTATACCCATTTGCCGATCTTAAAATAAGCCAGATCTCTCTATTCCCAAGGCTTCGAGAAACCCTCGGCCATTCAACAGAGGAGCATCAAACCCATTGTCAAGGGACGCGATGTGATTGCCCAGGCGCAATCGGGTACAGGTAAAACGGCCACCTTCTCCATCTCCATCCTGCAGAGCCTGGACACCACGCTGCGGGAGACGCAGGTTCTGTGCCTGTCGCCCACCCGCGAGTTGGCCGTGCAAATCCAGAAGGTGATCCTGGCCCTGGGCGACATGATGAACGTCCAGTGCCATGTGTGCATCGGCGGCACCAACCTGGGCGAGGACATCCGCAAACTGGACTATGGCCAACACATTGTGAGCGGCACTCCCGGACGAGTATTCGACATGATCAAGCGACGGGTGCTGCGAACAAGGTGGGTTTTTGGAATGGCCCATTTAAGAACCTTCTAATTATATGTATTCTTAAAGGGCCATCAAAATGCTGGTGCTGGACGAAGCTGATGAGATGTTAAACAAAGGCTTCAAGGAACAGATATACGATGTGTATCGCTACTTGCCACCTGCCACTCAGGTGGTGCTCATCTCGGCCACTTTGCCCCACGAGATACTCGAAATGACCTCAAAATTCATGACAGACCCCATTCGCATCTTGGTCAAGCGGTAAGATGATCTGTTTTACTAGACATTCCCACATATAAACCCTAATCCGTTACAGCGATGAATTGACGCTGGAGGGCATTAAGCAGTTCTTCGTGGCCGTGGAGCGCGAGGAGTGGAAATTCGATACTCTGTGCGATCTGTACGACACCCTGACCATTACCCAGGCGGTCATTTCTGCAATACTAAGCGCAAGGTGGACTGGCTGACGGAGAAGATGCGGGAGGCCAACTTCACTGTAAGCTCCATGCACGGCGACATGCCGCAAAAGGAGCGTGACGAGATCATGAAGGAGTTCCGAGCCGGCCAGTCGCGTGTCCTCATTACCACCGACGTGTGGGCTCGCGGTATTGATGTGCAGCAGGTTCGCTGGTCATTAACTACGATTTGCCCAACAATCGTGAGCTGTACATCCACCGCATCGGTCGGTCGGGTCGTTTCGGACGCAAGGGTGTCGCCATCAACTTTGTCAAGTCCGACGATATCCGCATCCTGCGCGACATTGAACAGTACTACTCTACACAAATCGACGAGATGCCCATGAACGTGGCCGACTTGATCTAAGCTAATATTCTATCTATACTTTTATGTAACGCACGTTTTCCTAGCCGTAACAACAAACGAATGAAGTAAATACATTTGAAGAGTATTTGGCTTTCGATAGACAACCAAAATCTGTATAATAATAAATAACACATAAGAATTTAATACAGAAACCAGTTTGTTTTAGAAATGGGGAAAAGGGGTTTCGGAGATAGGAGATTACGCAAGTTCTTACGTCAGGGCAGGCACTTACAATTAAAAGCTAATTGTTGTTTAAGTGAGCTGTGCACTTAGTAATCTTTTGTTAGACTTAAAATATTGCAAATGAACTAAAAATTGTCACAAGCCTATTTACACGGTTTTACCTAATCAGATACCTAAAGACTTTGGTTTTGGCGAACAAAATAGCGCGCTATAAACATTAATTAACACTACAACCTCCGCTGTGATAGATTATCTCAGCTTATAACTTCTGGCTTTTGGGGCAACGCTGGAACATATGAGCTGGCCGTAGAAGTCGTCAGAGTGGTTTGGGGTTTTTCTTGGTTTCGTCTGACTTTAGGAGGGTGCCCAGAACAATGCCGAGGAAGAGAATGAGTCCCACTTGGTGATTGGACAAGAACTTCTTGGCACAGTCGCTGGGGTTGTCAATGTTGAGGGAGTAGATCTGGAATACAGGGGTTGAATAAGCTAGGAAAGAATGGCCATAAAGGGAATCATACCTGCTGCACTAGATGAGCTCCAACTATCCCAACAGCTGCGTAGTAAGGCAACGTTTGATCACAAGCCCATCCTGCGGTGGACAGACCCGTCAGCATGGCTGCTGTGAAGCCAGACAGCCACGCCTTAGTATTCTCGCCAAATCTCAGAGCCGTCGACTTTACGCCTATCTGCAGGTCATCTAGTTTGTCCTGGTGGGCGTAAATCGTGTCGTAGACTATGGTCCAGCAAACGCCGGAGAGGTAGAGCGGCAGACAGGCAGCCAAATTGACGCTGCCTTGGGTGGCACACCATCCCAGAAGGGCGCCCCAATTGAAGGCCATGCCCAGAACCAGCTGGGGCCAGTAGGTAACTCTCTTCATGAGGGGATAGGTGATCACAAGACCCAGGGAACTGGCCCCCAACAATATGGACTGCCAGTTGAGCTGCACCAGCACTAGAAGGCCCAGACTGAGCTGCGCTGAAAGGAATACTATGGCATCGAATTGGCTGATCTGACCGGATGCCAAGGGCCGCATCCTAGTGCGTTCCACCTTGGCATCGATGTCCTTGTCCCAGAGATCATTGATCGTGCAGCCTGCTCCCCGCATGATTAGGGCCCCGGTTCCAAAGAGGCCAGCATGGTGAGATCTGGCCAGCAACCTGCATCCGCACTGAGGGCTATGCTCCAGGCGCAGGGCCAGAAAAGGAGGTAGGTACCAATGGGTCGATCAATTCGCATCAGTTGGGCGTAGGGTTTGGCGGCTGCCAGGAGTTCCTCCACCGGCGTTAGGCGTTTCGCGTGTTCAGTGGCGGTACTCGAGCACCTGGAGGATATATCCTGGAATTGGATCTGCGGCCTATCCCAGTCGTTTGGATCTCCAATCAGAACACGCGCTGGTCGCCGGAGCAGCATGTGTTTTGTTGTTGCCGCCACCGCGTAAGAGCTGCGGAAGTGCATCGCGCTCGGCAGTCGCAGGTGTCTCAGCGCAAACATTGCAATTCACCTTTCAGCAACCCCTTCAATAGTTAAATCATTAAATCACTTCATATGAGGCGGGTTACTAGTTAAAACTCACGGAAAAATGGCAAGATTTTTGGTGGAACTTTGGTTGGGAATGTCACAGGGATGCCACCCGGGAAAAGGTGAGCGCAGTGACACCGGATGAGCGGAAAAAGAAAAAAGTCTGGTAGCACTGTCATAGTTGGCGCTTAAAATTCAAATTAAATTTTTGAATATTAGCAGTACAGTTTCAAATGCTATATAGTTAAAATTTAATTACATACCCTGTTCTGACAGAAAACATAAAACATTTAAATCATATTAACAATTTGTAATATATGTTTATGTGTACGACATATTTTAGTAATTTAGTAATTGGTAAATAATACTGTTATACTGTTGTTACTCCCTCTATAAATTGATAAAGTTTTCATAAAATTTCTTCGCCAAACGGATAATACAAAAAGCTTCCAATTAACTAATAACCCAACCACTTACCCCTCTGCAATATCGTTAGTCTTTGCGCCCGTCACCAATTTTTCGAAATTGGCAGACGGAGCAGGAATGTCCGTAGAATTTTGCACACGGCCGCAGCAGATTTGCGCACGGCCATCAATTTCAGCGGCATTCGGGCCCAGTTAGAAATAGCCCAGTAAGAAATAACACTCTTGGAAAGCCAAGTGGACTAAGGCAGACCTCCGGCGATCCGCCGTCCGTCGGTTGCTATCGCTCCGGGGGCTATATGTATGTATGTATGGACGTACACGGAGTACGTACCATAAAACCGTACTCGATCAAGTGAAAGAATGGAAATGTTTCGACACCATGTATTACAGCAACAATTGCAGGGGAATATATTAGCCCATGATTGATAATCTGGATTGCAATAAATTCTGCACTCAAATCGATTGTTGAACCTTTGGCTTAAGTCCATAAATAAATTGCAAACAGAAGGAAAATCAAAGATCAAGGATGGTCTTATCTAGATCTAAGATAAAGATCTCAAATTACATATATTGTTCTACCTTACCTTACTAAGTTAGAATGCATTTAGGTTTATTTACATGGCTGTATCTAGGTTGGCATTATTTACTGGGTTCGACTATCGTTGGTATCACCGCCACTGGTTGATAACGAACCTTTCTCATTTCTCATAGATAAGCGCACTTGCCTATCGCCTCGTCGGCGGGATTAGGGTCGATTTTCTTTAAAAAACCACTCGCGAGCACTGACTTGCAAGCAGTCAACGCTCTGCTCTCAGCACCTCAGGTCTAGCGGTTATTGTTATCACTGTGCTTCCCCGATCGGCAGTCGGATTTTCCACATCTTTTGTTGACTATATCTGTTTTAAAAAAGGCACTCAAATGGACCACGATCATGACCACGGCTCGGATGACACTGCCAGCACGGAGAAATCCTGTCCCATGATCATGGTGGTAAGTACCCAGTAGTTACACAATCCCTACGGTCCATCGTTATGAATATTAATTCATTTACCTATACGCTAAACGCTGTAATTTTAAAGTCACTCATCCAGTTTCGCTGATTGAGATTTAGCCGGAGAGCAAATAAGAATCTCGCCCGACTTGGAATCTAAATTCTCTGGCTAGTCACTCCCTAGTATGTATATTTATGAGACACTCAATGATTTATTTGCTCTCTGGCGCTTTTTTAGGCGCTCTCAACAAACACAAATTGAATATGCGTATACAGGGTGTTTTGTTAAAAATATTAATGTTAAAGAAAAATTAAAAAAAAATCATTTCACTTTCATTTGGTTTTTATTTATTGAAGAGAGTATTTTATGTTTCTTTTAATTTAAAAAGTTTATTAATGATTAACTAAGCATTTTATATTGAGATCATACCAAAGGTTTGGAAATGATATAGTGATCGTTTTAATTGATGATTTACTACTCCTTATCTACAACTCTATTATTTTATACGATTTTTAATGAACTCTTAACACTCGTACAATAAAGTTCCATGCTGGCCACTGCGAACGGATTTTGTGGCGCGGCTGGGTGGCCTCCACGGTGACCGAGTTCGTCCTTTCCGCATTGGCCATCTTCCTGGTGTCCTTCCTGTACGAGGGCCTCAAGTTCCTGCGCCAGCATTTGGCTCGCAGGGAAGCCCGGAAGGAGAGCGAGCGACTGGCGGCGGAGCTGCGCAGGAAGAACGAGGCTCCTCAATCCGGAGGATGCTGCTCGGAAACCCCTCTGGCGGAGCCCAGGGAGCAGACCTACTGGCAGCGCCTGTTCGCCTCGTCGCACATCTTCCAGTCCCTACTGAACCTCCTCCAGATCGTCATCTCCTACCTGCTCATGCTGATCTTCATGACCTTCAATTACTGGCTGTGCCTGGCAGTGGTCCTGGGATTGGGCCTGGGCTACTTCTTCTTCGGCTGGAACAAGAAGCATCCCGACGAGAGCGAGTGCTGTCCTTAGATATAGGATATTCATCCTACTTCTTGCTGTTTGTATACCCATTTCAATTGTTTAACTTTAAGCCCTTATCAGTTTTGGCTCGCACATCAAACAGTCCCGTCCCCAAGTAATCATACACATTGTCTAAAAATACAATTTTATTCGATAGTTACACTTGGTTTAATTGTAATTGATGTAATCGTAGCATAAATTAGTCAACTAGTTTACTTAAATATTGTACAAATAGTAGTTATGAGAACAAGAACCTATACAACACGTATGTATCTAAATCGATTGACGTACCACTCAATACTTTCCATTTTACAATAAAGTTTTTTATGTAATTTACGTGATATTCCAACTCAAAACGCAAACAATCTAATATGAAACAAAAAAAAAAGAACGCAAAGTTAAATCTCCAGGATTACACGAAATTCGTAAGGAAATGGGGACTGTGCCAGTTCTAAGTCCTGACATCCCACAACTCACTTTTGAAGGCATAAAACATGGCATCCAACTAACACACAAAAATTACTAACAACGCTTTAATAGGATTTTCAGAAATTGGATTTATACAGATCTCAATTTAAACTCATTTTATCGATTTTTTTTTAATTTTTTACATTTTGAATATATTATAAACTGTTCCCTTTTAAAAATTCGTTAAAAATGTTTTTACAAATATTAATATTTTATGATATGCCTGGTTTTTCAACAAATTGCTGTTGATAATGTTTCTGTTGAGGAAATGCAACTAAACAGACCTTGAGCTTGTGTAAATAATCTTTAAGACACTTCTTCACAGCATTTATCTAGTTACATTCCAATATTTGCAAGCTTTGTAGTTAAAAGTTATATTTAGGTAGTTCCAGGAAAATGATAACCGAACACAAATGACATTCCAGAAGGTATTTATTTTCTTCAACTCATCTATTTACATTTTTGTGCGACAAGTGAGTGCCATGATATGACCGATCCCTAACTTAGAGCTTAGACGAGAGTAACCTAGACTGAACAACCGCGATCGAAAGTAACTAGACCCGCAACCAACCCGTAATCACTCATAATCCCGTGGCTCCGGCAGCCATCATTCCGCCGTGGTGATGATGGTGGTGCATCCCGCCGTTCTGGAAGTACATGTAGTAGTTGTACGGCGACTGCTGCCCAGCTCCGCCCTCGCAGTCGAGCAGGGGCTGACCCCCGCCCGTTCCCGCCACCGGGGAGGGGGTCATCGGCAGGGGGGACACTGTACTGCCCATTCCGCCCACTCCGACGCCCACCTGGCAACTGGCCCGCAGGGCAACCGCCTGATGGTGGGCCAGAATATCGCTGACCGAGTGGGAGGAGGGCCAATGGGCGGCGGCGGCTGCGGCGGCCACACTCCTCAGCTGGTGGGGATGGGGTCCCCCGATCCCTGACCAGCTGCTCCCTGCGGAGGCGAGGACTCCCACAGGACACCGCCTTCATGCTGTAGGCTGCCGCAGCGCTGTACGGCTGGTAAATGGAGTTGTACAAGTGGGCGTGGGCATGGGCGTGGGCGTGGACATGGTGGGCACTGGCCGCCGTCTGGTGATGATGATGGTGGTGCGGGTGGTGGGCAGCACCTCCAGGATTGCCCAAATTTCCCAGGTTATATTGTTATTAACAGTAGTACCATTGTTTTGACCCCCATTGCTGGACACACTGCCGCCGCCACTGCTACTGCCGCTGCCCATCACCGTTCCCGGCGTGTGCTGGTGACCCAGACTGCCCAACTTGTTCCGCAGGATCCTCGAGATGGAGCTCACACTGGGCACATTCGTCTTGTCGCAGATTCCCTCGCTGAGCAATCGATCGCGGATCTCCCAGGCAAAGATGCCGGGATCCCGCTGCTTCAGCTCCCTGATGTAGTTGACCACCTTGGGCGTGGTCACCCGCGGCTTGGATCCTCCAATGGCTCCTGGCAGAATGGAGCCCGTTTCGTGGTATCTGGCCAGGATTTTGGACACACAGCCGTGGCTCACTCGCAGCTGGCGGGATATGTCACAGGGTCGGATGCCCAGGCGGGCCAGCTCCACGATCCGCATCCTGGTCGCATTCGGCAGAGGACGCCCATTGACGAAGACCCCGCCCAGCTGGTTCACCTCGCCATACTGCGGACACTGCGACTCTGCAAAGAGGAATGGGTTCGGAATTAGCCAAAGTGGTAATAGGACTAGGCAACAGAAAAAACACACCGACACTAAAGTACTCTTCAGAAAATTCGAGGTCCTTTAAAATTACTAAGAACTACCTTTAAATACATACACTTATTAATACCGTATAGAATGGTAATATTTAATTATACTATCAGAAAATATTATTCTGCAAAATACTATTACAAACTTTCAGTATTATTTGATAAGAAAAAGAATATGTAATCCATAAGAAGCTCTTATTAGGCCTGATAAATATTTTCTTTTAAGTTAAGTTTTTAAGAGCCAAGATTTTCTCCGTTCATATGAAGAGCATATTAAAATATGAATGTTCTTTTTGTCATAAGTTACAAGCAGTATCATCCGAAAGCCATTCCCGGTTCCCAGTACAGAGTACAAACAAAGAGCGGTGCCTGGGAATGGGTATGGGAATGGGAACCGAACAAAAGCACATTTGCGTCTAATTAGTTTCGGTGGCAAATGAGTGAGCCGAGTGGCTAGAAAAGGGGTCTTTGGGGAGCGGAGGATCAGCGAGTCCATGATGAGTGGGTCGGGGTGCCTCCGTTTGTTCGGCTGAAAATCGCTACCATTTGCTTCTCAGAACTGCGGATGTGGGTGCCCCGGGCATCTTGCCGCAGATTGTGACTGGGAAAACACAATTTGAATGCCCGGAACGTGCGGAAATGCACTTTGAGCGATGACGCAAAGATTTTCCCTTGGCGCATAGAACACCACCTAAGGATAGGTGCACATCGGTCCATTCTATTCTTATTCCTTTTAAGATGGGATTAAAGATCAAACTCATTTTAGTACCTTTACTTGAGGAGAAGTCTTCGCAAAAGCTCCTTTTCACAAAGCCATACAGAAAGCAACTAAACATCCCTGTGAAGGGGACAATGTCACAACAACCTGTTTTAACAATCAATTAATCAAAACAAGGAAGACATTTCCATTAGCAGCACACCCCACCAAAACGGTTGTCAATTAGCCTGCCTAATAATTGAGCCTTTCCACAATTAAGTCATTCGCTTTTATAATAATTATATGTTTTCTGAATAACTAACTCGATATTGGCCAAATAAACAAGACCTATAAATGCAGCTTGTTCAAAACGTACCTCAGTCATTATTCGTCTTTATATTCATACCATACGGTCTTATAATGACTGGAATAAAAGAGTTAAAGAACTTCACGACTACTGATCTGTTCACGTATGTTCAGGTACCGGTTAATACCAATGCCTCCATAATGAAAGGAATTATTGTGTTGTACATGCGAGAATTTTCCAAGGCCCAAAAGATGATGGACCTAATGGACGTTCGCTGCACTAAGATGGAGGATAAGATCCAGGTGCATCGATCAGCGGCTTTATGTAATCGGGTTGTCGTTGCTTACCATGCATATATTTCGGTTACCTGACCATGGCCTTAACCGGAGCTTTGGTAATTGGAAAGACTCCATTCTGTCTGTATAACCCACTGGTCAACCCGGGCGACCATTTCTATCTGGCCACTGCTATTGAATCGGTCACAATGATTGGTATTATTTTGGCGAACCTCATTTTAACGTTTATTTATCTATGTGGTCATGTTGTGACCCATCTGAACTTTTGCGTCAGTGATAATAGATCTTCGATCAGATCTGATAAATATGATCAATTACGAGAATGTTGTGTAAAGGATCACAAGTTAATTGTAATAAAATAAAAAAATATATAAATGTATATTTATTTCTTCTAATTAGATATGGACACTTGTTCCATGATATCAGCGACGATGTTCATACGATTGCTGTCCGTCGGTCTTTTCGGACTGGCAGCGGTTTCCATGCAGTTTTAATACCGTAATGAAGTCTGTTCTGGAGTCTATACCATAGCCATACTTTCCAACTTTCGTTTTGCTACGTCTGTGAGCACTGAACAGCGACTGCGATCTTAACCAACGCAGTGTTCCATTCGAAGTGGATCGGGGCAGACCGTCGATATAGAACCACGATGTTGTACTTCATCATAATGTCCAGCTGTCGATTCCATTCACCGCGGGCGGAATTTTCCCCATTGCTTGAACACCAATATTGAGGTAAAAAATAGTTAACATAAAGACTAGTTCTGATGGTTAAAAAAACTTTCAGATGGCCAAGTTAGCTTTCTCAGTACCATTGTGAATGAAATGGACTTAGCGGAGAAATTGAGAGGGAGTAATACCAAACATTTTAGTAATCATAAATAACACTATTCAGTAACGAATAAAGCATTCTCAAATAAATAGGTAAAATAAAGCTTCTTATATTAAAAATTAAATACTATATATTTTTGTTAATGGATAATGAACCATACAGTTGCTCGATTCTGATTAACTTTACATAATCGAATGGGCTTGAGCCCAAATGTCTCAGGATTGCAGGAAGTAAAATTAAATATTAAATATCCTGAGCTTCGTATTTCGTAAGCATTATTTTCTGGCTTTAAATAATATTAAATGTTTTCTTTACTTTTATAATCCTCACTTCTCTGGCAAACAAAAAGAACTCGTGTTTTACTATTATGGCTTGCCATTATCCGGTGGTAAATGGGAAACCCCTTATCTGGAGCCTCCGTTCGTGGCACCTGCCTCTGGGGCTCCCACTCCGTCTGGAACTGCCGTCCAGTCCATTACTGTTATGGGCAGTTGGAGGCACTGCTGCACATCTGCGCCGTCTTCTAATTTCGAATCGTGTTCCACAACAGCAACTCCAAGTGCAACACGTACTGGAGAGTGCAGCGCCATAAAAACCACAATAGAGCTCCCGGGTTACTCGTACCAGCGATCTCCAGAAATCAGGAAGGAACCGGACAAAGGAACGATAATGAACCGGGAGACTGGGTATATCGACCTCGATGTGATCCATTAGGAGGGCAGTTCGCGACTTACAAGCTCGTTTTCCCGCTGGTCGAGCGGTATCACATTACCATCCCACTTGTTGCCCGACATCGACATCACCACCCCCACCGATCTCCGATCTTCGATCCGCGGCTAATGATCCCCGACAGTGTCGAATTTCGTGTACATAGTTTATGGTTATGGATTTGCGCACTTGTCAATTGCAGTTCGATCATTGCCAGCACTTGCACTCGGGGTCGTTTCGGGGCCCCAGACAAAGCGAACGTGCAGCTGCATAAATAAGAAAAACTGTTCGAAATAGACGGAATCGACATGGGTATCTCCCCACATTAAAGGTGGTCGTAATAGATGGGAGCATTCAAAGATATGATTATGGGTCGACTGGGGTGTACTGCTTAGTAAATATTAAAAAAAATATCCCTATATATAAAATATTTTACTAATTAAATTAATAACGGTAACGAAGTCACATTTTCCTTACAATAAATTATATGGCAATTATAACTCATTCAATTTGTAATTTCAAACACAAAGTTGAGGTTAATGTTGTATTACTCAATTGATTTTCATGTTCGTATCTAAACCACTCTATACCGATCATAAATTCCCATTACTCTATTTTCAAAACACTAAATGGCACTACATATTACAAAATATTGGTTTCTAAGTTCTATATAAGCGGGTTTCTCAGCCAGTTTAGTCAGTTCAGTCGGAATGTCGGCCAGAAGGATAAAATAATCGACTGGGCTTTTGCCTCATGTTTAGTTTGCTGAGCATTGAAGCTAGATCTTTGAAGGAAACTTCTGTGAGGACGGTAAATTGTTTGGAGTTTTTAAATGCAATTGCTGTAATGTATCCTCTCAGAAGCGAGATACAAACGACTGGTGGTCACTCCTTGAGGATATAATCTATGACAATGATAGTGGAAGTGACGACGACGCTGATGATGAAAATATCTGTGGTGAAGGAGTCTTCTTGATTTTATATTATAATAATGATTGATTCTTTTCAGTGATTTGTCGTAACTGTACAGTTGTAGTTCAAGCTGCTCCGAATGGTACAGCGGATGGAAGTACAGTAGCCCCAGCAGCAGGAGGAGCAGCTTCAGGATCTACTGTAGCAACTACAGTAACTCCAGTAGCTCCACCTCCAGCATCTCCTGAAACTCCGGCACCTGCTACAACAGCTGCACCACCGACAGTGACATCACCCACTACAACAGCAGTTGCTGGTGGTCCTGGTGGTTAGGAAACCATCCTGATATCTAAAAGGATAACCCTATAACTCTACTCTAAAAGGATAACCCTATAACTCATCTCTAACATTAGCTTTTAAGTGGGATTTGGTATACGATAATTTTGCCATAGGGTTAACAACCCACCTCTAATAAAACTGGCGTTCATTCAGTTTTTAACATACAATTCCTAGCTTCTCATTCCCTGGCACTATGAATTTTCAAAATATTGTAACGCAATTGTCTTGACATAAGTCACAACAGATCGGCTGGCACTCGCCACAGACCCACACGCATTGAGATCGGTTCTGGTGGGCCTAAGGGATATAGCTGACATCCATCCGGAGACCAAGTCGGTGGTTTTTTGTGTTCGGTCTTTGAACATTTGTGGAGAGGAGAGGAGCCACCATTTCCCCCTCGAAGGGAGGGTGCCATCCCCAGCATGACATTCTGTTTGACATTTGTAATCTCGGGATCGTTAATTATTTACGAATTGAGTTACACGCGGAGATTGTCTGTGTGCGGCTCCACAATATAATATCCAGCGCCAGCCAGGAAGGAAAGAATTCAAGTCAAAGATCATGGAAACGACAAATGTGCTACCTCGAGTGAGATGGGTACTCCCAACAGTTCTATATTTGAGAACCATTCATGTTTTATTTTGATGTAATAAATAATAAATAAAATAAATATGTTTCCATGGGTTAAAAAATATATATATATGATAATTCATATCAACGTATTCTTTATAGCCGTGATCATCCTTTAGACTTCATTTAAGATCAGATACTTAATGCTCTTTTTATTTTTTCCCTGCCTTCCGTTCTGTTTTTTTGAATCTCTGAATTCTTCGTGGAAAGTATTCGAAATATGTCCAATGATGGCTGCAATTTGTTGGTCCCTTCAAGAACATTATCTCCGAGTGCTTGACTTTTGCGCCAAGAGTCCATAAATTTGTCTCAACAAATACTTTCTAGTTGTCGCTGACAAAGATCGACGCTCTTGTTTTCCTGTTTGGATCTATTCAAGATAGCTGCTCTGTTTTAATGGCTTTTCAAATACGCATGACATCAATTTTGGGCAATTACCAAAGATTAATGGCAGCCAAAGTTGAGCACTTGGGGCTCAATTATGATATGTGAGTTATGCCATCGATAAGAATCGAACCTCCGCTAAACCGAGAAATTGGAAAATTAATTGAATTGACTATCGGTTAGCTGGGTGATTTAAGAATATTCTCTTGGCCCGACACTCGGTAATCATCTTCAAAGTTGTGAGTAAGTTTCTCACTTGTGATTTATGGCAGCCAATCGACATCCGGCCAGAATAAAATGCTCCCCGCCACATGCAAATTAGTCACGTAATTCCTATTAGAGCAGCACGTCTATTCCGAATACCCCTTCGATCCGATCCCACTGGTGAGATGAGTCAAGAGCAAACATTTTGCAACGTGCCCAGTGTCCAAAGCAAATTTGATCAATGATGGATGTTGACCACGACAGTTATGGGCCATATCGATGAAAAAACACATCAAACATTAGAAATACACTGATGGATTTCCATGATCTTATTTTTGGTAATTAATAATTTGCAATAAGTGGGCATAAGTCTAAATAGCAATCTCACACTGATAAAAAATCCACTGATGATAAACTTCAAATTCAATTGCAATATTTCGCTATGATTTTAAACCCCTGCGTTTTGACATGGAATATATTTTTAACAATTATACTTAATTTAGATTAGAAACTGATTTAATGGAACATGTTTTTCCAAAATTTAAAAATTCAATGAAGTTATTAGGTTAATATGTTTTGTACACAACATGTATCAATTATTATCTACGAAACTTTTAGTTTAATATCAAATATGGAATGAGTCCATTGGGTTGTTAGTTTTAGTGATCATTGCTGCAAAATCTTTTTCCCAGTGTGTTTCGAGTTCCATTTCAATTTGATCAGAAGTTGAGACCCCTTTTTCGGGACATCACAAGTGCAACATTTCGTTGACCTCTGCGCGGCTACTTGGGCGATGCGTCGGCACGGATTGTTGGTCTTATTAAAGGTGCAAACATCCCACCGGTGTGGCAGTGGAGGTGGGAGTGAGGTCTACTCATAGGTATACCCCTACACTGGTACGTAGTGTCGGTCACGATCAGAGGAGCAGTATGTTAGGTGCTACCCAGGTCGCCGTCGCGTTTCGAGTTGTTTGGCTTGTTTGTTTGCCTCCGGGAGAACCTTCGAACGCTAAGAGGCGGATTTTGTTTATTTAATTTTAAGTTACGCCTGCTGCTGGCGATCAAGTTGACTGGGCTACTTTAGCTCTAATAAGGATCCATCCTGGCTCTTACTGGCTCCTCGACTTTTCGCTAGTCAGCGCTTAATCAAGACAAACAAACGGGAATCGGGGCCCGATACGATACCATACCATCCCATCCCATCCGATCCGATCCTAACCGATCTGAACAGCTTCTGTTAATGAAAGGCAAACAGCTACGGAATTGTGAAGAGGTCGGGCAAACAGCTTAAAAAATCATAAACTCTGAAACGAAATGGAGACGAAGACTGCTTTTGTCTGATCGGTAAATATTTGCCCATGGATTTTCGTCTCTGGACTCGTAGTCCTTTCGCATCCCCGGCGGAAATTGGAAGCGGATTCGGTAGCCGACGCTTCTGTATCTGTGTGTTTCGGTACAAATGGCTTACAAATGGCTGTGTTTGCTTTGAAATCGTACACTTTTACTTAGTTGGTCACGCTTGGCTCGGGACCCCAAAAACCACACATACAGAAAAATTATATGAAACGGGAATCTTTGGATCTAACTTGAAAGATCCGTTATGATATAAATATTTAACAAAATATATGTATTCTTCGGAATATTAAAAAAAATGTGGTAATATTGAATCCTAATGATTTTGATCTCTAATCCCTTTTTCTCAGTGAAGTTCCCATTTTGGACCCTTTCCCCGCCTTCAACATGCCATAAAAAGCTCAATTAAAATTGTCTATATGGCAAAATTATAATTCATAAATTCTGGGAAATTGCCGAATACAATGGCGACCACTGTTTCAACTGGAACTCCGCCAACGACCAGCAAATTACAAACGCAATCCAGAAAGAAATGTCGGCTTTAATGTCCGTATGTTTGTGAGAGTATTTCCTTTTTTATTTCTGGTTCTTGTTCTTGGAAATTTTTCAACACTTGCCCTTTCGTCAAAGTTTCGCCGGCGGCAATTAAGGTTGCACATATTGCAGCTTAAGTTTTTTATAATATATTAAAATATCATTAAAGTATTCACGAAAGCCACTGATGCGCATAAATCCAATTACAGGAGCAATTAACGAATGTTAACTAACTAGAACTAATTAAAAATAATATTTGCTAAACAAAATGGACGAGGGGCTGGGAAAATACGTCGGAGTATGTATGTACAGTACAGCTTCTGGTAAATCAAAAACTATTTAGGATGTTAAGACTTGGATTTTAATTGGAAAGTTACGTTTTTTTAAGGTTTAAAAAAGAAAGTTAACTGTAAAATATTAATACCTTTGTTTATATCATTACATTTGTGTCTTGATTTTTAATCGTACATTTTATTGTATGCTGCAATTATAGATTTATTAAAAGACTGTCACATGAACATATGCACTTCTTATCAGCTTGGAAAAAAATATATATACATAGATGCGATAACCGAGAATGCCTCTTCTTCCTATTTGCCTTGTCTGGTTGATAAGTTGCAACTAATATTGCAATAAATATGTACTTCGATTCAACTTCAACTAGGCATCTGATTGACTTTGTGATTATTTCAGAAACTTGAACGCTGCGAGCATTTTCGATGTCAAATGTCGAGAGGCAATGAACTTATTTTCTGCCTAATTGAATTTAACAAATTCAAACATTTCAAACTGATAAGACATTTTGTTGCCATCGTAAAAATACATTGTATGATTTATAACATTTGATTTGGGGGCATAGGCAAATTTCAGCGTGCTTCGATGATGACAATAATACTTATCACGCCTGTAAGGCTTTTATTTGTAGAAAATAAAATTGCCATTCAAATTTCATTTTAATTAATAAGCGGCCGTCAATTAACACGTTTTCACACTAACCGATGCGTTCTACGAAAATGGTCCACTAAATTGTATTAAATCGCAGAAAACTTTGAGTAATTGTCTGAATATTCACAACATTAACTGCAAACAAATAAAATAAATAACAAAAACCAAAATGGCTGCCAATTTGGATACTTATTTTTAGTTCGTTGGGCCCGAATTGAATATAAATTTGGCATGAAATGATGTTTTTGATATTGAGGGTAATATTCTTTTTGGGGCCTGTGGTCTGGTGTTTGATTGATCAGCCGGTAGAATGGCATCAAAACGACATCCCCCAAAAAAAGTATAAGTATATAAACGAATGATTTAATACTCTTGGGAGAAGAACATATATAATAATTATTTATTAAATGATGTGCAAAAAGTGGTTTACAAATGAACCAGAAATGTATTTAAATCAGTCATTTTATAGACCTTGTTTTTTAATGCCATAATAAAGATTCCCGGAATTAACACAAGTATGTGAAAATAGCATTGATGGAAATCCAAATGTGTATGATGGCATAAGCTGGATAAATGCTAAATATAATTTATGGGCTTTATGAAACCTTCGCTTTTAAAATAACATAAAAGGGATTAGAGAAACCTGGTACTTTTTTGAAGGGTATAAAAGTGCATGGCAAATTGGATTCCCTTCTCATAACTAACATACAATATGTGCGAGTGCATTTTCGACTGCGTGTTGCTCCCATAAATCTTGGGTCTTGGCAAGCGGTTCCTTCTCCTTCGGAAGACCCAGCAGGTTGATTGACGCAGCGCCGTCGCGGTGGGGAGATGCCTTCATATGTTTATTTTCTTAATTCCGCCGCTGGGTCTTTGCATCTTATAAAAATTTATATGCATTCGGCATGCAGAAAAAATTAATTTAACAACTCAGTTGACTTGAGCTGAGGCTCAGCCAGCGCGTCGCGTATACGCCATGGTGCCCGCCCCTTTTTCCGCTCATCCACTTGGATTGTGACTATTTAGTTGGCTGCCCACATTGTTGCAGTCTTCATCGACTTATAAAAATAGTTTAGTTTTCCCTTGACTTTTTTTTTTTTTGCTTTTCTATACTAACT